ATTGGCAGTGAAGTTCTTGTCTACCGCAAAAAAGACAAATATCAAGGCCTGTATAAAGTTCTATCAGTAACAGATCGAGAAGTAACCATTGAGATGGTTAATGGACCAACCCTATTCAGCCGCACGCACGTCAAGCCGTACAACCGTCACCCTGACGCGATTCTCGATACTGACAAGGTCGACAATCACGACACCCCCATTCCGTTCGAATATCCTGAACCGACACTCTCCCGTCGTCGCGGCCGCCCTCCGAAGCTCCCTATACCCGTCCAAAGCACAAAGCGACCGCGAGGCCGACCCAGAAAAATATACGTGGTACATATGGCCACTACGACTAGAAGCGAAGAGGAGAACTTCGCTGGCTCCTTCGTCCAGCAAGATGAATATGGTATTTTCCTCTCGCATAAGGAGCGTGCTGACCACGCTCTCGCTCTGAAACTGCGCACTGAAGGCAAGATCACAGCCCCTTGAGCACCCTTCGAGCAATCCGATGTCCTTGAGATTGAGTCTCTATTTGCCGATGAAGTGCTTGTCCCCATTCTGTTCGACAGCAAGATTCACGGCGACATCCAACTGTTTAACTCTCGTCTCGTCCGCACTGTTAAAGGTGTCAATGACCGCCCTTACGAGAAGGGCAGACTCGTCGTTTAAGGATATAACAATCATAAAAAGCACGATATCATGACCCAAGCTCTGACGATCATGCGGTGCAGCCAACAACTGGCAATGGCCCTAACACCGTCCTTACGACGGCTAGGATGCCTCACTGCCTCTCGAGACATCACTATGGCCTATACGCAGTCACGACACCCTATGAATCGTCTTGTCCTATGCAAGCTGTCCATTAAACTAAAAAAAAAGTATCAAGAGGGTACAATTCTTTACGTCGACAAACCCCTGTACGGAATCGCAGAAGCTGGGAATCATTGGTATGACACATACTCCGCCCACCACAAGGAAAGACTAGAGATGGAGACATCCGCCTATAACCCTTATTTATTCATTACAAAGAAAGGCAATGACTTCGCTATCACAGCCCTTCAAACTGACGACACCTTTGTCATTGGCACTACCGGCTTCCTGGAGAAGGAAGAAAACGAAACAAGGAAAGCGGGCTACAAGACGAAGCCACGAACCCAGTTTGATACTGGTTCTTCTGGCAACTTCAACAGATGCCGCCTAGAATTTCAGACTGAGAGCATGACAGCGACTCAAAAGGGACAAGCTGACAAGCTCGTCCTGATTGACATGAGTGACAAGGACTACAAACAGAAATTTATTGAGCAACGAGCAAGAGGCGCTTACATTGCCTCCATCTGTTAACCAGAAGCTGTATTTGACTATTCTGTTGCAGCCCAAGCCCAAGAACCCTCTGACAAAGATGTCGAGATGCTAAACAAACACATTTAATGGCAACTAGATAACAAGTCACATAGACTTCGATTCGTAACGACTGACCTGTCTACTGCTAAACTCTTTGTGTTTGTTGATAGATCATTCGCTAATAACAAGGACCTATCATCCCAGATCGGATTTGTCATTATCTTCGGGAATGAATCTTCTGGCAATGACGAGACATTCACATTCGATCTGACTGGAAACATTGTTCATTGGTCCTCTACCAAATGCAAGAGAGTCACTCGGAGCGTTCTAGCTTCTGAAATCTATGGCATGGTTGCTGGCTATGATTACGGATACGTGATCCACCGTACACTGGCAACTATCTGCCAACGCCTCGAAGTATTTTCGATCCCCCTGATCCTCTGCACGGACTCATACTCGCTATACCAGTGCCTTGTCAAGCTCGGCACTACCAATGAGAAGCGCCTGATGATCGATGTCATGGCGCTCTGGTAGTCATACAAGAATCATGAGATCACAGAAATCCGATGGATCCATGGTGAAGACAACCCTGCTGACTCGATGACCAAATCGTCTCCAAATAAAGCTCTTCATAGTCTTGTTTTTAATAACAAGACAACGGTTCGAGTTGAAGGCTGGGTTCGGCGTTGAGATCACCTGGAAAGACGGTTTGATGGAATCGCAACCATGAAAGAAAGAGTATCCTGTGTTGGATCCATGCGATTCCAGACTGCAAACCATCTATACCAGGACCCACATATATGATTAGATAAGATAAGATAGTGGATTGAGAGGGCACTTGGCCAGACCTTCGAGTCCAGCTAGATTCCTCTCAATCCAACCATCAGCAACATCATGGCCTTGACCCCATACTCAAGTATTATGATTGATCGTTCAAGCCTGTTCTAACATTCTTAATAATATCGTTAATGTTGGATCCATGCGATTCCATATTCAAAACCATCCATACCAAACCCACATATATGATTAGATAAGAGATTAGATACCGGATTGTGAAGTCACTTAGCCAGACCTGCAGGTCCAGCTAGACTTTCCAATCCAACCATCAGCAACATCATAACCTTGACCCAATACTCGAGTATTATGATTGATCGTTCAAGCCTGTTCTAACAGTTAAAGCATTAAACATTTTACTTCAACTTTCTATTATTAAACGTAACGTTTTTAAAAAATCTTGTTTTCAAGCTTAATAGCTATATTATTAAAAGCCGATATATTATAAAATGGTTTCTAAATTGATTTACTAATGTTTATTACGTATATTATAAAAAGTTTAAAATCAGGTAAAAACGTATATAGCGATATTATTGATATTTAAATATGTTATAAATTCCGAGTATGTTTTTTATGCTTTTAATTAAAAAGACGTTATATATGTTTTTGACGAAGGTATTTTAAGAAGTTATACCTCTTAATAGCTTATTAAATAAGGTAATAGTTTCTAACTTATATTATAAGGTTACAGTTATAAAATGCTTCTTTAAAAATGTTGAAAAAGATATGATATATATAAAGTAAAAATAAAGCCTTGAATAATTTAAAAAAGGTTATTTAATGACTACCTTAACTTATAAGCCTTATAGTTTTTATTAAATTATAATATAACTGAATTGGTTAAAGTAAATAATAAATTTTATTTTCTTATTATATTGAAAAGAGCTACAAAAAATCTTTTATTCTTAAATAGTAAAAAAAGTATTTCATTTGTTATTTAGCCATATTTATATAATCGTAACGTTAAGAAGTAAGCTCATCTTAAGATTATAGTTTATACCGATTTATTTTATTATACTGTTAAAAAATATTGATTTTGAAAATAATAATAATAAATATATACATAATATATTATTATAATAAAACTGCGGGAACAGGCTTGAACAATCAATGATAATACTCGAGTATGTGGTCAAGGTCATGATGTTGCTAATGGTTGGATTGTGAAGTCTAGCTGGACCTGCAGGTCTGGCTAAGTGACCTCACAATCCGGTATCTAATTTCTTATCTAATCATATATGTGGATCCGGTATGAATGGTTTGAAGGTTGGAATCGCATGGATCCAACATTAGTATTAAAAACTCCGAAGTTCTTATAAAACCTAATAATATATCAAGTAATTAAACGAAGGGTAAAATATTAATATTAAACATAGCGTAAATTTATTGCTTTTAAAGTTTATAATTTTGTTAAGAAAACCTGTATTATTAGTATTAATATCGATTTAAAGCAATATATTAACTATTATTAACTATTTTTCATGTTTTATAGTTTTAATTACGTTTTTATAAAAACTTTTTCAAAACTTTTTCAAAACTTATCAGTTTAAAGCTTTTTATTACGTCTACGTAATATTATAGTTACTTTGTATAGCTTATATTTAATACCTTTTTATGTTATATTTTGTAACAATTATAATATAGCAAAAGCCGTAGTAAACGGTTTATTTGTTGAAAAAATACGATATGTAATCATGTTATTAAATCTAGTTTATTTATTTATAATTTAGTAATATATATAAAAAAGATTAAAAGATTAGTTTTAACTTGATTATAATAATATTAGTTATAGTGGTTCATTATTTGAAAATAACAGTGTATTTGTTATTTCTTTATTATTTAAAACGAATTGTTTGATATTAATATCTTTAAAATGCTAATAATTTCATAAGTGATTTTATAAACATTTATAAGAAAAAATTAAGCTATATAAAAACTTATATTATCATGCTTTAAATTTAAGTAACGTTTGGTTTAAAACCGGTTATAAGGATATTAACTATATAAAACGGCCCGGTCATTAAATTAAACCGGCTAATAAATACCGTGTAAAACCTTCTCTTTTAAATATACGCTTACGATTTAAATATATAAATATTTTAACTATATTATGTTGATATTAAAAGCAGTTAAATAGTTTAGTTATTAGCCTTATATAAGCATTAAACCAAATAAGTTATCTAAGTATAGCCTTTTTAAACGTAAAAATAAGTTATATAAATGTTATGAGCTGTTTTATATCAACTTTTAGCATATTATATTTAAACTAAATATGTTGATACAGGCTTGAACGATCAATCATAATGCTCAAGTATTGGGTCAAGTCATGATGTTGGCTTAAGCTCTGTTTATTATAATAGGCGCTTTATTATATAACTAAGTTTATTTATTTTAAAATTTAACCGAGTGTCACGAAGCGTAAATAGGATGAAAACATAAAAGTCCTGATTGCACTACTTACGTGTAAGAATCTCTTGGTGGGGAGGGAAAGAAGGATCTGACCCGCCAGCCAATTCTGGTGGGATTAATGATCCTTCCATCCGCCCCACTATTACCTAGCCTAGTACAGTTGTGGCCACACGTCTTGTGCGCCAGGTCATGTGATGTTGCGCACAGGCCACCCTGATGGGTTGACAGACTTCCAGGAGGTCAGACCGTTACACCGAGTTTTTTATCTTTTAAAATAAAGGCTTTTAAAGTATTAATTTGAAACTTTCAGCTCTTATATAATGAAAAGACATTAATTCAAAAGTTAAAACTTAACCAAATAAAGGAAAAAATAACTTTAAAATGCTAGATATATTAATGAGCTGTTTGCGTATAGAAAGGCTGGTTCGCTCGCGCTAGTTGACGATCGTACTCCCTACCACTCTCTTCGCCTCAGTGATCACATCATACCCATAGGCATACATCCTTGCCGCAGGTGTCCTCATGTCCTTGAGGTCTTGGTCAGGCACGACACCCTTTGCTCTCGCCCTATACCCTTCTTCGCCCAGCTCGGCGAGCTCTTTCTTCCAGGCTGCTGTCATGGCTCCCCATATCTGGTCTCGTTTCTCTTGCTCTGGCCCGTTTTCCATGGTGAATAACCGTGCATTCCCGAAAGCCATACGTCGGATGTTCTCCATGCGTGCTTGCCTGAAGGAGCTGAAAGCGCGCATGCGCTGGGCGAGATGCCGAGATTCCCTGAGGGTGGTCGGGTCGAGGAACTCTGCGAGCGCTGCGGCGTCTTCGAGGGCTTGGGCTGCGCCTTGTCCCGCGTGCGGTACGATGGCGTGGGCGGCGTCACCCACCAGCACGAACTTTCCGCTCTTGCTGACGTAGCTCGGAATGGGTGGCACATCGCCCAGCGTCCACTTCGCACAGCTGTCGACGAGCGACCAGCACTTCCTCACCAACGGACACCACTTGGTCAGGTGCTGCCGTACTTCGTCGAGGTCACCGGGCTGGTTCCACTTTCCCACCTCTGCTTCGCTGGGGCGTACAACGCAGAGCAAAATATTGTACCGCTCACCGCCTGCGACAGGGTAGCCTAGGACCGCGCGACCAGGCCCGACCCAGGCTACCGACTGAAGTCCGACCATCAGATCGGCAGTCTCGGGGTCTTGCAGCATCTTCTCCTTGGGAATCAAGGCGCGGAAGGCATCTTCCGAAAACGCTCGGGCTTCGATGTCTGTCAGTGTTTTGCGACTCCGCGACCGAATGCCGTCTGCGCCGATGATGAGGTCGGCCGTGAGCTTCGTCCCATCTCCTGGGATGCTCATTGTGCCTTCTTCGGCATCTATGTCGCTCACAGCGCACCCAAAGCGGATTACCACTCCAGCATCAAGAGCCGCCTTGGCCAGCAGAGCCTGCAAGTCGGGCCGGTAGATTACCCATTGCGGGAAGCCGTACTCCCACTCGGTAACCGGGTTATGTGCGACCTCGCGAATGACCTCGTTGCTGTATCTTCTGACATGGTTAACCTTTGGCTGGTTGACGACCTTGAGGAAGTCATCCTGCAGACCCCAATGATAGATGACACGGGTTGCGTTCGAGTACAGCTGCAGACCAGCGCCAAACTCGGATAGCTTGTCGTTGGACTCGTAGACGGTGACACTGTGGCCTTTACGTCGGAGGGAGAGGGCACAGGCGAGGCCTGCTATCCCGGCGCCGATGATCTTGATATCCAGGCGGAGCTGATCTTGGGGGCCCATGATGTGTATGGTTGAAAGAATCAGCCGGGCAGCGTAAAGGGGAGCGGCAGTGCGAGATTGAGGGCCGAAGTGTGTGTGAATGCATCTCTGCGGGCCTGACGGGAAATGTCTCAGGGTATTCTTAAACAGGTGTTTCATGATAATGGTTAGCGGTGTGACGGGGACCTCTTGGGTGCCGTACTTTGCCTGTTAAGAACACGCAAAGTTCTGATCTATAATTATCTGCTGTGGTGATAGGTAGAACTTTACGCATTGGGAACTTTTTCCAGATCCATACATACCCCCAGGCATGTGGAACCGCTGACTATTTGCCACCTGGGCATCCTGGTACTTGCTCACGTGGATGTACCTTTCGCTTTCGCTGTTCGCGCATCTTACGTCCGGCCTACTGCCCTTGGTTTGTTAACTGGTTGGTTGGCTGGGGGTTGCAAGTGGGCAGGTGGGTGAGTCTCTCAAGGGCGGCAGTTCTATGTGTTAGGGCAGCCGCAGACACTCCACGCTGCATGATCGGTGCATGATCGGAGTTGATGGACCGCCCGGGCTTGTTCTGTCGGAGTATTAAGCAAAAAATTGTCAATGTTAAGTTTACAACCTACCACAATTGGAATCTGCAGGAAAGCTCGTAGTAGTTAACATCTTCGATAAAATCACAGTAACTTCCCACAGTCCGGCTAGCAACAAAGCGTGCCGCGTGCTAATTCATCCGAAGAAAAGCCCCGAGCTCTTTCTTCTGTCAACCTATTCGAAATGGCCGAGAGCGAGGTCCCGGCTGGTTACACCCTGCTCGAGGGCTACCCCTCGGTCGACGACTACGTCCACCTCCGCGCGGCGTCGGGCCTGACGCTCAGGAGCGCCGACGCAGGCGGCGGCGGCCCTCCGGGGCAGCTGGTATGGGGTCTGGGCCGCCGAGGAGTCGGATCCCGGCGCGGCTGTCGCCATGGGGCGGATCATTGGTGACGGTGGGGTGAGCTACTTCATGTTATATTGTGACCTGTTCAATGTCATCTTGCGCGCAGATGTGGCCTGTTTCGATGTTTTGATATGGCCAGTCTAGACCATGATGCTTGAAACAGTGTCTTGTGGCCTAGGTAGTCTGTCTTGGAAAGGGAAGTACTAGCTAACATACGATGATGCCATAGTGGTATTTCCTGATAGCGGACATGGCGACACTCCCCAAGCACCGCCGCAAGGGTCTAGCCGATGTCATACTCAAGAGGCTGTTGGCGAGAATCAAGAGTCACGCGGCCAAGGGCAGTACGTGTTTCCCGGCGGCAGTTGACGATTTTCATTTTCTCGTCGCCTTGGTGAAGCAAAATACATGACTGAATCTTGCGATGTTATTACAGCCGCATACGTCACGTTGGGTGCAGATGTGCCGGGTCGTCGACTCTACGAGAGGAACGGGTTCAAGGACACTATGCCAAAGGAGATGGGCAGTAAGTGAAACACCCGAAACGCCCACTCTTTCCTTCTACTTCTATCACTTCTCGGCTTGCGAAGCTAACGTGATCATGTCGCAGTGAGCTTGAAAACCGAGGATGCAGGTCAGTAGATGTGTGGGCTTAGAAAGACCACGGTTGGAGTACTTCGGGTCGAGATGGGCTTTTCCCCTGCCGTCATGCCATATTTCCTTTGAGGAAGATGAAAAAGTTCTATAGAGCCGTCGTTGGAACTAGAGTGGGCGGTGTAGCCTCGTTACTAGTTATAACGTAAAAGAAAAGTGAGGCTATATCGTCTGCCAATCAACATCGCTAGAAACGACTGTGCATGTAGCGGCAAGGTCCTCTCTTTGGCTGCAGGCAAAGTCTAAGCCCTGCTGAGGGCAGGGACTTTCCCCGCGCCCCATTGGATATTTTGAGTGTTGCCCAATTGCAAGCTTCAAGATGGTCATCTCAGCTTACCTTGAGGTTGATTGCTTGCTGGTTGGGCAAAGTCGTCGCAAAGCCACTGCGGTGCTTTCCACGTGGTTGAGAAAGCTGAAGTCCTTGAGCCTTGCCGTCTTGCTCCAGTGAAATCACGTCTAGTATTGTACTCTCCTCCATTACCCTATATACGAATGTGCAGAACACAACCGCTGCCTGCACTACGCCGCCGTTCATGGAGCCTTTCTAGTACACTCCTCTCCTGCCAGGCGAAATCAGACTGCTCTATTCAACGATTGGAAACGATGTGGCTACATGGTCTCTCAAGACTGTGCCGCTGTACGGCCTCGCTGCCCGGGAGGCACTCGAGTTCGACGCCCTCTCCTACACATGGGGAGATCTGACGCACACGTTCGAGTTTGTATGCAGTGGCCGAGAACTTCGAATCCATCAAAATCTCCATGACGCGCTCCCATATCTCGCCAGTCGACGAAGCGCTCGCCCGATTTGGGTCGATGCAGTATGCATAAACCAAGAGGATGAGGAGGAGAAGATGTCTCAAGTCCGCCAGATGGATAGGCTCTACCGTCAAGCATCGCATGTCTGGGTGTGGCTTGGATGCTCAAGTCACGCGGCGGAGGCCATTTCACTCTTGCCCAGAATTGATACAATTTGCCGTGAATTCGAAGCGGCACCCAATCCCCTGGGTCAGTATCCTACGACGGCCTCTGTGGGACTGCCTGCCCATCTTTCGTCCCCAATCTGGTCTGCCATATATCACATCATCTGCAATCCCTGGTTTTGTCGGGTGTGGACCATGCAGGAGGCCGCCCTTGCCAGAAACGCCTCATTCCTCGTCGGCCCTCATGAGATCTCCTGGGAAACACTTGAACGTGTAATGGAGGTAGCGTTCAAGCTGGAAAGATTACGTGATGCTGACAAGAGGAAGCCCGATGTCGTGCGCGCTCTCGAGAACCGGGGTGTATTCACGATCAGGTGGCTGACGCAAGGACGAGGCCGATTAGATGTGGAGGTTGGCATGAAAGCATCTATGCCAAGGCATCTCATCCGCGTCGTCTACCACATGACCGGTAGTCATTACTGCTCAGACCCCCGTGACAGGGTTTGGGGTGTCCTTGGGTTTCTCGACGGACACCGCCCCGACGACATGGTATTGGAAAGTGGTCTTTCCGTGACTGAACTATACACTCAGCTTTCACGTTATCTATTCACAAACGTGAAAATAGACAATACTTTTGGTGGCCGCTGCTAGACCGAGCGACTTTTGGGGGCAAGTGTGCCGGCCTGCCAAGCTGGTGCCCGGACTTCCATCACCGACTTGAAGATGAAACGGAAAGATGTGGCATCTGGCTACTAAATAAAAGATACAAGTGTGGCTACACTGCAAGCACGACCGAAGGCTCGGCGCGGCCGGGCGCATGCCTACAGGAGCTGGTACTTCGAGGTTGCGCGTTCGACACCGTTGACCGCGTGTATCCGATGTTGCCCCCAGAGATAAAACCGGGTAACCGTGCGCACAACTTCAATGTCTTCAAACTGTGGAAGGACGTTGGAGATGGCGCTATTGACCCGGGCGGGGGCGGCCACTCAGAAGTGGAGATGATGAACTCCAAACTTCCCCTTTTGCCCCTTTTCTCCTTGAGTTGTCATCCTTCTTTCTACCTCTAAGTGCTGGCAAACAGAGTACGCTCTGTCTGCGAAGACGTCTTCTTCGCTTTGACTCTAATGAATGTCTTACCACAGAATCCATAAAGTTGTAGTCTTCTTGAGGCATGTGGAGAGTTCGGCCTCGAGTCTTTGACTTATTGCTCAAGAACCCAAGCCGGGGTATCAAAATTCGGGTTCCATCACGTATATCGAGTGGACGGGCACGTCTACAACCCGACCAGATACAATGCATCTGTCGAAATCACTTGTTCTCACGCCACTAGCGTCGTTCATCCCCGGACTTGGTCGCTGTGCGCGCTTCCCAGTCTGTCTTCAACACAGGCGTCAGGTGACCATCGGATAGCAAGCGTTACTTCATTCCCTACTTTCTACCAATGTCTCGTTTTATATGGCCGCCACTTCTGTCGCCATGGTCAACCATCGTGTCCAGCCACTGGGAGCTGAATCGAGTTTCAAGTGAGTGGTCTTTGATATGTTAGCGAAAGACTGGGTACATGCATTCTACACTCGAAGCAAAGCTCCTCTGCTAACTCGCTCCTGAGAATGCAGCTACTATACCCCCGACAATTTGGTGATATTCACTGTTCTCCTTGACGGCTTCCGACGTAGTCTCCATCCTCCGGCCTGGACAGCATGGGGTTCTGCGATGAACGCGTATCAGGAACGCAAAGCTGCCGCGTGAGGAATCCTCCAGTCATCATCTGCCCATCATACGAGTGACTCGATTCTACTCCTCCAATGGCACCAACTGCCTGTGGCTATTCCACTGAAACCCGGGTGGCGTCACTGGCTGCTTCCCACCGTGCTGTTCCACAGAGGTCAGTTGACAGTTCCTTTATTCGTATCTGGGAGTGTAGGGTGGGCCTTGGCAACTCACCTGATACACGACAACATCATTCCATGAGAGGCAACGAGACGACCTCCTAAGCAGTGAGCGACTGTCGATAAATGTACTCGTCCAGGAAATAGTAAGACATCCAAAGCACATGGGGCATATGCGCTGGCTTCTCGCTGGGACGCCTTCGCAGCTCCATATCCGGGATCCAACGCTCCGAGCGCTGGAGTGAGTCTTCGGGCTCGTCGTCGGACATCAAGATGTCATCCATGAACTTTTCTGTCTTTGGGGTGTTTCGCTTGCGGTTCTTCCTGCCCTTCCTGGCCATCCTCGGTGACTTGGCTGTGATGGGGGATGGCTGGCCTAGAGCAGACCCCATCCCAAGAAGGCCGGATTTATCCAGCCAAACGTCGTCGGGATTCATGGCGTCGACTTTCTTGTTGAGCATTGCCTTGAGGTTCTTCTTGATTTTCTTCGCGGCATGGCCCCGAGGCTTGCCGGTGAAGTTGGGCGCTGGGTTGCCCTTGGGTTTCTGGACGCCATCTCTGACCGCTCTTCGAGGTTGGTTGCGGGTTGGCGAGTCCGGGGCCTTCTTGGTTTTTGCCATCACTGAGGAAATGCTGTGTCTACTACGGTAATTGTATGTGGATTCGGTGAGCGTCCCGAATTGCCCTCATAATAGTACGAGCGCGAGGTGGAAAGCTCATCAATGAGCAGTAGACTCAATGCACAGGATCACTGGACGACACCAGAAAGGAATCGAGGACAAGACCTGGTTGGGTTCCTCGATCTGACTTCAGGCAAAGAAAATCGGACAGTTCTAGGTCCCTCAGCCAACATGATGTCTGGGCTCGACCTCTTTGTTCCCTCAGCGAGGTTTGTGCGACCAAGCACAGGAACCAACAATTGCACGCATGGCTTGGCATAGCTATAGGCTATAGCCTGACTGTAACATATCTGATAGTCTGAAGCCCTGGGTACTGCGATTTTTATACTCCCTGGTTTCCACGAATCGCGACAGGTTATTCAGCTGGTTGGAAGGTTTAAGAGGGAGCGAGGTGTCAGTTCTGACGCCATAGAGCTGTGATCTCTGGCCAGACTAGGCCACACCAGGTGTTCCTCATCTCGCAAGCAAGGAGTACCAGGATTCATATCTTTATATTCCCTTAGAGTATCTTATTTCTCTAGCTAATGCCTCACTTGCTCAAACTGGAACAAAGTCGTACATAAGACCGCAGCAGATGGGGTACGAGGGCTCGAAGCTTTCACGGACCACCACGGGACCAAACCCTTCCACTGACCTACGCACGTTAGACTCTCGTCTCCTGTCCTTCTTTGATTGCTTTGATATGTCTCTCTGCCCGAATCTCATTGTGCTGTTTCGAGTACTGCTCGACCGGCATAGACAAAGAATAGCGCAGATAGGTGTCATGCCTTTGAAAGGAAGCGAAGTGGAAGTCCTGCGCCAATTTACAGCATCGCTCATTCTTGCTTTCCGGAGCAGCCAATTGGACTGGAGAAGCGTCAACTCGGGTCAGAAGTCCAAGTCCTCTTCACTGAGCCGCCAGGAGCGCCACCAGCCATGTCTGATAGCGAATCCGAATACTGCCACAGCTTAGCGGGCAGCATCTGCGAAGAAAACTTCAGCGTTGCTCGGCGCGAGCCAGAAACAGAACCTGATCAACGTCAAAGATACGTCCGTCCCTGCTTCCTCGAAGACATCGAAGACATAGAGCTATACAGGACCGGCGGCTTACACCCAGTGAGCCTGTCCGACGTACTAGACGAGAGGTTCGAAGTCGTCTACAAGCTCGGAAGCGGCCGCACTGCCACAGTCTGGCTCTGCCTCGAACTCCAAACCAGGAAATGGCGAGCGGTCAAAGTGCATGCGGCGGCGCGGTCTTCAGCAGACAGCCCGGAGCTGAGACTGCTCGACGTTTTCCACGACAACGCGGTCATCGCAACGCAGCTGAAAGCAGCCCATGTTGCCATGTCCCTAGAGACGTTCTGGCTGGACGGACCGAATGGGAGACACCTCTGCTCCGTCATGTCTGTGTCGGGCCCGAGACTCTCCGACTGGCGAAGCTTCGCGCTCGGGGACGTCGCTACGAGCATCAAAGAGATCTGCCATCAGATCACACAAGGTCTGCAGTTTCTGCACGGCCAGGGGATATGTCACGGTGACTTCCGGCCGCAGAATGCACTCATGCAGCTCAAAGAAGGCGCCCTGGATCACCTTTGGAAGGACGAGGTCTTGGACATACTCCCGTTCCCTCACCGAGAGCAGGTCCTCACGACTGACGGGGAGCTCAGCTCGCACGCGCCAAAGTGGGTGTACGAGGGGCTTTGGTGGCCGGATGTAAAACACCTGGTATCAGATGACGATATCGCAATAATCGATTTCGGAGAGGCCTTTGTATCATCTACGCCGCCCGGGTCCCTGAGCGTGCCGGGCAAGTACGCCGCTCCGGAGGTGGTATTTGGCGGTGTAGCGGGCAAGGCAAGTGATGTGTGGTCTCTGGCGTATACACTGATGGAAGTTCGACTTGGCGAGAGTCTACCAGACGATATCGAGGAGAACATCAAGCGCATGGAGCGCTTCGTCGGTCCGATACCGCTTCCGTACCAACCGGTCGCGAAGGAAATGCTGTATACGCATTTGATGAAGCAGTTAGAACAAGACGGGGAGGAATACAAGTCGAGGCCAAGACCCCCGAACGAAGTACCGTTAGATCATGGGAGGGAGCTGCCGCCCATCACCGCGTCACAGACAGACCTGATAGCAGCGGAGGCGGAGCAGGCCAATGCATCTCCCTACACCAATCAACTCGAGATTGCGCTGGGCGTCGAGCGCTTGGCCGAAGTGTTCGTCCCGGATGAGCGGCATCCAGCAGGTGAAGAGGGTACACTGGATACCACATCTCATCGCTTGCCGTCGGATGAGGTTGTCGCACTGGCGGATCTCCTTGGCAAGATGTTGAAGTACGACGCGGAGGATAGGACGAGTGCTGCCGAAGCTCTGGATCATCCGTGGTTTGGACAGACTCAGACTGATAATTTCTTCTGAAAAGTTCCGAGTCATTAGTGGCAGTTTTTGACCCTTCCTTTTTGGTGGTTTATGCGGAATCATATTTCCAGCCCCTTGAGTCAGGGGCGCGGGACTCGAGCAGGGGAAGCCGGAATATGGGGCATATCCGTCGACCTCGAGCTGTTCCCGAGTGCGGGGATCCTGCTATAGTTGAGTTATGGGTTTCGAGAGTAATAATAGGAGTGCTGAACATACATCGCAGCAAGCGGGTGCCAGTGTCTGTGTGATTGCCATTGCCCTCATCGGATGTCCACCTGACGTACCATGATTCGACCACCGAAAGCACGCCGGTCGCCGCATTCAACAATACTTGTCATGTAGAAGATATCAGTCAAAAACATAAAACTCCATCACATTGTATTGTACAACATCGGCAAAACTGTCATCTATCCGTTTCCCTGCATTACACCCCCAGCGAACTCTGTGCAATCTGATCTTCCGATGTGCCCACGCCCAATCCTTCCCTGACACCCTGTTCCAGCCTCAAGATCGCTAAACCCAACGATTCAAGCCATAACTCATCGCGATTTAAAAGCCGTCGCTCAGTCGACGCCGCCGTATGGTTCATCAAGCCCAAAGATACCCGGAAGCGCAGCCAAATACGAGGCCTCGGTGAGGGTCTCACCACCGATAGCCTTAGTAATCCAGTTGATGGTAGGGTCCCCACCAGCTGAACGAGTCGCGGGAACACCTCCAACCATGATAGCATGAGCAGGCACGTTCTCCGCCTTGATGTGCTGACACACCGGTGACAGATCCTTGGTGGAATACCAGTACATGCTGTGTCCAATGATGAATATTTTCTTGTTGGCCGAGGTGTCGCCCGAGATGAGGTTGCTCACCGCGGTCAAGCAGTTGAAGTAGTCCGTCGTCCCTCCGTTCGGTAAGTCGTTCAGCCAGTCTGTAGATGCGTTGGTCGGGTGGTCCCAGGCCTTGACGGACGAGCTGGGAAACCCGCGGCAGCCATGCGCGATGACGGACACCTTGGTCTGGCTGTTTCTGGCGAAGGCGTGTTCGAGGATTTTCTTGTAGGTCGCCTTCACGGAAGGGAGCACGCTGTGCATGCCGTGACTAATATCGATGCAGATAATAACGTGGTCTGGCCGTGCCACAGACCTGCGTGTTGGTGGACGGACATTCTCTCCGTTCCACTCTGTCTTGACACCGTTTGTCTTCTTCGTGCCGACAAGGCCCTTGAGAGTGAGATTGCGGTCTTCTAGCTCACTGATTCGCTTCAATGCGTTGAGGTACAAGCTGCGTACCAATGAAGGGTCACTGTACAACTCCTCGTCGTCGTTCCTCGAGGCTGGAGTAGTCTCGCTGGCCCTGAGCTCACGTGCAATCTGTGCCTCCAACCGAGCGATTTCTTGCTTTGCGTGGAAGAGGTCTATTGCAGGTGCTTCTCCAAGAGCTTCTGATTCACTGAGCTTGGTGTCGAATGAGAGCTGTAGAGCTTGCTGGGAGGACTGTGACAGAGAAAGCTCTACCTCTCTGGAGAGGATGTCGGATCGGAGGGTGGCGTTGCGCTCATCCGCAGTCTTCAATTTGCTGTAAAGCAAGGCCTTGTCTGCAAGCAGGTCCTCAAGGCGCTTATGAAGACCCTGTATCTGGCCGTGGTGTTGTACACTCTCCTTGCGGGCGTCCTCAGTTTCCTGGCGAAGTCGGGAATTGTCGTTCCTGGTGTTCTTGAGTTCACTCTCCAGCCACTCGAGCTTTCTACGCATGTCTTCACCTAAGGTAGAAGAGCGATCCTCGCGATGAGCATTTTCGTCCCCTCGCCCATCAACCTGCTGTCCTTGAGGCTGGCTACCTGTTTTCGAGTTCTCCGCAACTCCTCCCTTTTGCGGGTGCTCGGCCAAGGGACTGAAGTCTAACTCTGTGAGGAGCCATCGGAGCCAATGCATTCCCCACACGCGGAATCTCTCCCAGAGAGAACATAGCCACTGGTAGCAGTGAGTTGCGGTCTTGTTTACTTGCTCTGGGATGGTCAACTTCACGCCGTTGTCGTGAAGCTGGGCGTTTGAGGAGGCGGACTGGCGTCGTTGCATCAGCGCGTCCTTTTCGGATGCATCGTTTGCATCTTGGCGTTTGGCTGCTGGGGCGGAATTCTCCATTTGGAATTCGAGGACGGCTTCTATGAGTTTATGAATTGTTTGCGCGCGCCGGAAAGTCGTCGTTTGGTGCTGTCGTTTCGGTAATGGGCGGAGACTCGCAGCTATGAGAGGAAACACCTGATGTTATTAGTAGAATCCCTTCATTCTTTCAGGATGGCTGCTGCGGAACCCGCTACTCGTTTCCAAGGCCTTGGTCACCGCTTACTGCGTTTACTTCAGAGCTCTTGATCGATTTTCGATGTAGAGTGGGACACTACCTAGACATGGCCGTTGGCAAGTGAAGCCTCCGGAAGGCCGGCGGCGATTGAGTGCTTTGTCGATTGCACCTGGACTGGAACAGCGCCTGCGGTCGTCCATATGTAAGGCTGTATGATCCAAAACGTGTCACCTCTAACTCAAACGGGAGCCTGGAAACCACATGATACATGCAACTTCAAGCGGGAGCCAGTCTAGACCCATCGTACCCTGCTGCAATCCGCTTCAGTTCCAGAATCAGTGAGCAAAAGACCGCTTCAAACGACGATTCCGTGGGTGAGAAGGCGAACGGCGACTACGACCATCGGATATGCACAGAAGCGCGTCGACACGTCAAGTCTACCCAAAGGGACGGCCTACCTCAGGACTCCCAACGAAGAGACATAGTACCAGTGCATAGATAAATTGGTGAGACTCGCCAGTGCAACACGATAGAATCCAAGCAACTTCCATTGCATGGATTAGAGGATGGCACCAACACATACCAAGAAGGTGAGGCTGGTCCTGGCACAGTGCCCCGACTGTTCTCCCGAAAGAGCCGATCAGCTACTTCAGGTAAGACAGCCCCGACATACTCGGCCATTCGACATTGGAAAGCCGGTATCTGATACTGCGTAGAAATATTCCGGGCACAAGGATGCCGTTGAAAAGGCGGTCAAGTATTTTCATTTCTGGGTATGTCTTCTGCTCGTCATGAATCCAAGACACCACACAGAGGGGACACTCACAAGCAGCAAAGGATGGCGAGACAGATGATTCTGGAGCTGTTCGCAACGGTGGCCCGCAGGAAGGTGAGTCAACAGCGTCATTGGAGGAGGGCTGCTAGATGCCAACAACAGTGCAGCAGAACAACAGCTACGCCGTTATCTTCGCCTCCCTCGAGTGACTGCGCCAGCTGGCCTCGTCGAACCTGGCATGTATGGTCCAGAGGTCTTCATGCTGGAGAATGTCGTCGGCGCCATCCAACAAGGCAAATCGGCAGAGACAGTTCGGAAATATCTGAGCTACTACCATGAGCTCGACGAGGATTTCTTGCGAGTTGGTATCAACGCCAAGGTGAAGGGCTTCCCGGCAATCTTCTACGTTGTCGAAAGGAACGACACGCAGTTGATCAGATACTGGATCAGGTATGGGGGTGACCCAAATGCGACTTACGGACCTGACGCTTTCCCTCTCCTGGCGTTTGCCATCCTCCATCGTGCGCGGACACGAATCCAGGCAACGAGAACGGTAGAAGTGCTGCTCAGTTTCGGTGCTTCGCCCCTTACCATACCCGCGGCCTATTACATTCCGTTCAACCGTGATCTACCGGAGGCTGGACCCAGTGAGGAAGAGCTGAGCGAAGACGGCGACAAGCTCTGGTGTACGCCAAGTGTTCGGATCACCCTGGCTTTTTCGTTGAACTTGACCCAACGCTACCGCCTATACCAGGCACGGCAAACAAAACCGTCCTCTGGCCGCGAGCGAGTACTGGTCCTCCGGAGGGATGCCGAACAGGTTCTTGTATTGCATCAGGCAATCATAGGGCAACGCATTGCGGCAAAGACTCTGAAGCGCAGACTGATGATGTATGTATTGATCCCATTGACTGGTCTGTAATGCGCTGATCATCGACAGATAACTGGCGTTACCGCGCGAGAAGCCATTGGTTTTCACTTTCGCGGGACCGAGTGGCCACGGCAAGACAGAGCTTGCGCGAAAGCTCGGAGAGATCACGTCCTTGGACACGATTAGTATTGACTGCACCACGTTCACTCGAGAGGATGAGCTCTTTGGTCCAAGGGCTCCGTATCATGGCCACACGTCGGGCTCTCTTTTGAACAACTTCCTCGCGAGAAATTCGGGAAAGACGTCCATCGTGTTCCTAGATGAGTTTGAGAAGACGACTGAGACGATCCACAACACGTTGCTGGTCCCCTTTGATCAAGGTGCGCGTCCTCTCGTCTCGTCAGATTGAACGCTACTTACCTTCGTCCGGCAGGGGAGTATAAGGATCGACGGAACTCGGTGGACATCCTTTGCTCCAACACGATATGGATACTAGCGACCAACATGTTTGACCCAGTCATCCATAAGTTCTGTGAAGCCAACGAGGATGTGCTGTTCAAGTCTGACGACGAGGCTGCTCAGACAAGGGTAGTGGAGAAGCTTCGTCGGCAGTTGCGCAACGAGTGCATAACCCATTTTGGGCGGCCGTCAACAGGGCGCATCTCTGAGAGAATCCCGTTCTTGATCTTCTCCCCGGACGAGCAGGCAGTAGTTGCTCATAAGCACCTGATGGAGTTGGAGGAGAGACTCGCACGGCCGATCGTCGTCTCTCGGAGCAGTCAACGGGACAATTTGGTCGGCAACGTTCGACTGGATATCCTGAACGATTCGACGATCTGCTCAAGCATCGCACGGGACAGTTATGTCCCGCAGCTAGGCGCGAGGTCCATCTTCAATGGCGCCGACGACGTGGTCACAGCGCCACTGGTGAGCCGCTACCTGAGCGACGGCGATGACTTCACCGAGGAGCAGGAGGAGACTCAGTTCAGAATTGGTGTCGATGCTGACGAGGAAGTCGAGGTATGGCTCGTACCCAAGGTGAGCGACAGGAAGGAGCCGCAGATGAAAGGGCAGCTTTGATGAACGGCCACCAACCGAGGCATAAAGAGTCAAGAGTCAAGACATGGGCCCTTCAACTTTGAAGTCCAGTCAAGCAACTTGAACTGGCTTTGCGAATAAATTGTGAGACGCCGTTGCCGAACGATCAATTGACATTTCTTATCAACGAATGGCCCGTGCTCAACTGCTACGGCATGGATCGTTCCTTCGCATGTGAGAATGATGTAATGGAGGTACAGGGTTTGTCGCGTTTCGAAGATTCCCGTCTGCCCATCTTCTCTCCCACCTAGAAATCGTAGCCAGGTTCTCTCTTCACCTCTCATAACAACACCATTTTTCACCTGCTCCCGTTTATACAGCCTGGACTGCGTCAAGATACGCTTCTTTCCTGTTCCTTGGTACTTTCTTCCTCTACCACCTCTATAAAACGCCCCAATTGCCCGCTATAGAACGTACAGCCAACATGGCGCAACTAGCGCATCTGCAAAATCCACTGTTCCATCCATTCCTCCTTGTCTTCCAAATCTGGCAGTGGTTCGTTGATAAAATCCTCTCGCCCTCTCCTCCGGAGCCAGGAACGCAACTCAGCCGGCCGAAGATCGCTATCATTGGCGCTGGAATCACTGGTGTTTCCTCGGCAGCTCACTGCGTTGGCCATGGCTTCGATGTGCTCATCTTCGAGGCTGGCGGCGAGAAGAACCTCGGCGGCATCTGGAGCGTGAGCCATTCCATTTTCCACCATTAATTTGAACACTGTTGTATGCTGACTACCTCGTCACCTGTTGCAGAAGGTCAACGATACCTCGAGCCTACAGATTCACTCTATGATGTTTCGGTTCCATCCTTCCATCCAGTGGAACAACGGCTACCCTGACCGACAGCAGATTGTCAGCCAGGTCAGACAACTTTGGGAGCGCTATGGGTTAGACACGAAGACAAAATTCGGCACCAAGGTCGAGAAGGTCTACAAGAACGACAAGGGCCGTTGGATCGTCAATAATCCTGCGAATGGACAATTCGACGGCGTCATCGCAGCCGTCGGCACCTGTGGAGACCCAAAGATGCCGCATATGGAAGGCATCGAGCAGTTCAAGAACCCCGTATACCACTCGAGCCAGTTGACCGGGTAAGTTCAGTCCCCCTTTTCGAGGCTTCTGGAATAGCCAGTGCCGCATTGTCTCCTTTCAGCTCCAGGCATTGCAACAAACCGTTTGCGAATTGTGGGTGATAGTGCTAACCACCAACGACAGCGTGGACGTCAAAGACAAGACGATGATCGTCATTGGTGGTGGCGCCAGTGCTGTGGAAGCACTCGAGTACGCCTCGGAAGAAGGGGCTTCCAAGATCTACATCCTATCCCGCAGCGACAAGTGGATCATTCCTCGCAACTTCATCGTCGACATATTGCTATCTCTGAACGTCTTCGGCCAAGAGACCATATTCTCCTGGATTCCCGAGACGCTATTGAAGAAATTCTTCTACAGAGATCTCCAGGATATCGCACCTAATGACAAGGGCATCTTCACGGACACCCCAATGGTCAATTCCGATGTTATGGATAAGCTGCGATCTGGAGAGGCCGAGTGGGTTCGATGTGATATCGAATCCTTCCACGACGGGGGCATCACCGTTAACAGACGTGCCAAGGGTGTTCCCAAAGGCGGACCAGGCCGTCACGTCGACATCAGTGGAGATATGGTGGTTCTGGCCACGGGCTACAAAAGGCCTTCCTTAGATTTCCTCCCTGACGACTCATTTGGAGAGCCGTATGGCCCTCCGAACTGGTACCTCCAAACCTTCCCTTCGCGGCATCCATCCATCTCGGCCATCAACTGCACCTATCTTGCGGCAATTGGCACAGTCGGCAATTGGCACATTGGTATCTATACGCGGATCCTGCTCATGTTCCTCGTTGACCCCCTTACCCGACCTTCCCCTTTCTGGATGGAGCGCTGGATTGACATGACCAGGGTGCTGAAGGCGTTCGCGCCAACTGGGGCCTTTGATTTCTTTACGTACCTCGAGCTGATCTGGTGGTTTACCTTCTGCGTCACCATCAACCCATTCCGTTGGAAGTGGGCTTTATTCGTCTTCTTCGGCCTCGAGTTCGCGCTCCCTAAGCGGATCGTACAAGCCGAGGAGCATATCCGCAATGGTGCAAAGGTCAACGGCAACGAAGGCGAGGGCAGAGACGTCGGTCGGAGTTTCTAGGCGGATCTCGACTGCGGCAAATGGCCATCCGGACAGTGCGACTTTGAGCTGGACTCAGACGAGGAGACTTCATCATATAGGGATTGGGGTGCCGTTTGTTGCACGGAGCCAGCCTTGTCCGGCAAGCAGACTGATCACGGCAAGCCTTCTGTGCCTCCAGTGTGGCCTTCTAACGTGGTACCACACGGATACTACGGTCGCGTAGAGGATCGCGATTGGGATGCATGTTCAAGTCTCTGGGATGATGCCAGCTGGCCTTTCGTGACGGAGGACTCCGCGGACTTCAACAGTCCCAACAAGGAAACCGATATGTTGGAGACGTCCAACCCGCGTTACATGCTATGTCGAGCATGACAGCCGGTGATGGACATAGTTCTCTAGGTTTCTGGCAAACCGGCTAGACGATGTTGGTATATTACTATGAACCAGGGGTTCTGAAACGACTGTTTCCTTAGAAGGTGTTGTGAGATACGTTACCACGAGTGGATGAGTGGGCTAGATGTTCTTTCGCAAACAATTCATTTCACTCCTGGAGGCACTCTGGGTCATGTACTTATTCATCAAAGCTTCTCGATAGGAGAAGTACAGTGTCAGACTATGAACGGCAGCATTTTCAAACAATGTGATCGACGTTCCAGCTGCCGACGCCAGTATAAAGACCACCGCTAAGACAGCAGCATCTGAACTCCAGTATCCTACGTAGCATCTCCGATCATCGCTTGCCTCGATCTCTGCGTCCACCCTCCATGACCTTGACCTTCTTGTTGAACCTCTCACCCATCTCCTTCATACCACTGCTAAGCCCACTGCCACGGCCACTATCTGCCGTATCCCTGCCCCTCTTGCGACTCTTCTCCAGCAGGGCCTTGGTCCCACCACCACCGCCCTCCTTCCGCCTCGTCAACCGCTCAATACGGTCCACGCCCTCACCCAGATCCCTCCAGTCCTCTCCACCGAAGTTCATCTTACCGCCACCGCCCTCGTTGCGGCTCTTCTTGGCGCGGTCCTTCTTGCTCTCCTTCGGCAGCCGCACGAAGTTGGTCTCCTCGTAGTCCCGCTTGCGATCCTCCTCGGCGCGCTCCGTCGCCGTCTTGACCTTGCGGCCGCGGTCCACGATGGTGGTCCCCACGCTCGGCTGCGCCAGCGGGATCGACGACATGTCCTCCTTGATGTACTCGTCCATCGTGGCCGACTTGAGCGGGCGCCGGTCGCGCGGCTCGCGGCGCTCCGTCGTGGGCATCACGGTGGGCGTGATCTTGGGCGGGCGGTACACGCCCGTCTTGTCTTGGGTTGCTGCGGCTGCCATGCCGACCGGCGCTGCGGCCTTGGCGAAGTTGTTGAAGCTTGGGGCAAATCCGAAGCTGGGTTTTGCCGGTTTGCCTCCCTCCTCGCCAACACCGTCGCCGGTCTCCTTGTCAGAGCCGGAGTCCGATTCGGATTCCGACGACTCGGCGTCCTTTGCCTCCTGGGCAGCCCGTTGGTTGCGATCGGCGTCGTCGGCGGCGCGCAGCATCTTGTCGAGCTGGAACCGCAGCTTCTCTTCTAGCGGTCGCACGCCCTTGTCTAGGTACAGGCGCAGCTCGACGAGCTTCTTGACGACGGCGTCGGATAGTTCTGACGCATTGTCGTCGGCGGCCGAGCCCGCATCGGAGCCGGTGGCGTTGTGGTTCTTTTTCGCATTGCGGATCTTGAGCAGGATTAGGAAGACGAGGTTCTGGAGGTAGGAGAGGAGCAGCTCGTTCTTGACGTCGAGGAGGGAGACGTTGTCGGCGGTGGGCTTGATACCGGCGAGCTTCGGGGTGGCTTCGAGCGCTGACGAGAGCGAGTTGGTGAGGGTGTCCAGCAAGGCTGGTAAGGAGGTCTGTACCGCCATGGTCGAGTTTATCCAAGAGATTTGACTTGTCGGTCGCAACGGATATGAAGCTGGAACTGAGACTTTGAACCTGTAAGAAAATAAATTCTGAGCCGATAAGGATAAGGTACGTACCGATGCAAGCCCCTCCAGTCCGTGCCGCCGCATTGGATCCACGACGTTGATCCATGCATTCACATCCTGCGCCACGCTTCAGGCAGGTTGCGGTGGCGGTGCACCAGCGTTGGATATGTCGCTGGTCCTTTGGCGGTTGGTGGCTTGGAGCTCCTGAGTCCTGAGATTAATTCGTGGTGACAAGCAGCATACCGGCCTGCCGGCATACATACCTCATATTCCCTACTCCCAGGGCGACGACACCTACCTGGACTACTTCCCCTTTGATATATTACAGCCTTGAGGATCGATCTTGAAGCCGCAAGCACCCGACGCTATTCACTGCTGTGCGAGTCCTGTACGAGTCCTGCGCAAGTCCCAGCGCACCCATGTTTGGTGTCTGAATCAAGTCTGCGCCTGTTGCTGCTACGTAAGTGATATTAAGCAGGCAATTAGTCCAGTCAAGTCTTTCACTCTGACAGTTGCCCTGCTTTTACTGTGCTGCCATCTGTCCTCTAACTGCATCCTCCCACACAAACAATGCTTCCACCTTGCGGCCATGCTGACAGCTGCACCAACAGGAGAAGCCACACCAAGATGAAGTCGTCAACCTTTGCGCCGTTAGCGGCCGTCTTCTCGGCACTCTTAGCTCTCCCACAGCTTGCGACCGCATTTTACCTGCCAGGTGTCGCGCCGACGTCCTACCAGCCTGGGAGCAGTGTTCCCCTATATGTCAACAGCATCAAGCCAGTTGCCGCCCCCGATGCGCGCCTCCACTCCGTCATGGCCTACGACTATTACGAGCCCAAGTTTCAGTTCTGCCAGCCCGAAGGCGGTCCGAAATATGTATCCGAGAGCCTGGGGAGTATCCTATTCGGCGATCGCATAATGACGTCCCCCTTCAACCTGCAGATGGCCCGGAACGAATCGTGTACCAAGCTATGCACAGCGACGTACGATATGCCCTCGGCCCACTTTGTCAACAAGCGCATAATGAAGGGCTATGCCTTGAGTTGGCTGGTAGATGGGCTTCCCGCAGGTCAGAACCTGCTGGACGATCTGACCGGGACGACATTCTACAGTCCCGGCTTTGCCATGGGCCAGATCTCCCAGACCGACCCCGACGGCCCAACCTTCTTCAACAACCACTACGACATTGTTATCGAATATCATAAAGTTAGGGGGAATGCGGATCAGCTGAGGGTGGTGGGGGTTATTGTGCAGCCGGCCACCAGGGCATACAAGTCGGGAAACGAAAACGATCTGGATTGCAACGATAACGGAATACCACCCGTGGTTCTTTCGGAAGACCCCGACACGACGACAGATGTCACGTTTACCTACAGCGTCTACTGGACAGAATCACCAACTGCCTGGGCCACTCGATGGGACAAGTACCTGCACGTCTTCGACCCCAAGATCCACTGGTTCTCTCTTGTCAACTCGGCCGTTGTCGTCGTCTTCCTGACTGTGACGGTCACGTCGGTGCTGTTCAGAGCTCTGAAGAAGGATATTGCCAGATACAACCGTCTGGATCAGATTAATCTCGAGGACCTTTCTGGCACATCGGCTCTTGAGGATGGCGTCCAGGAGGATTCTGGCTGGAAACTGGTACACGGCGATGTGTTCCGTACTCCGGCGCATCCTCTATTGCTCTCGGTCTTCCTTGGCAATGGCGCGCAATTGTTTGTCATGACCGGTTTCACCATCTGCTTCGCGCTGCTGGGTTTCCTGTCGCCCTCGAACCGTGGCTCTCTTGGAACCATCATGGTGTTCCTCTACACGCTGCTTAGCTTTGTTGGCGGCTATGTCTCGGCAAGGGTCTACAAGTCGATGAATGGTGAGAAGTGGAAGCTGAACATGGGATCGACCCCTCTCCTCGTTCCCGGCATCGTCTTTTCGACATTCTTCTTCCTCAACCTCTTCCTGTGGGCCAATGGTGCCGCTGGTGCTGTACCATTCACCACCATGCTGGTCATCGTTGGCATCTGGTTCATCATCTCTGTGCCGCTCTCAGTCGCCGGGTCCTGGCTTGGTTTCCGCGCTCCAGTCTTTGAGCCTCCCGTGCGAACAAACCAGATCCCGCGCCAGATTCCCCCAGCTACCACCTACCTGAAGCCGATTCCGAGCATGCTCCTAGTGGGTATTCTGCCCTTTGGTGCCATCTTCGTCGAGCTCTACTTCATCATGAGCTCCATCTGGTTCAGCAAGATCTACTACATGTTCGGCTTCCTCTTCCTATGCTATGGTCTGATGATCATCACCTGCGCCGCGGTCACAGTGCTTATGGTGTACTTCCTCCTGTGCGCCGAGAACTACCACTGGCAATGGAGAGCTTTTCTGGCAGCTGGCATGAGCGCTGGCTACATCTTCGCTAACGCCTTGATATACCTGATAAGCAAGCTATCCCTAGGTGGCTTGTCTGGTACAGTCCTCTACATCGGATACAGCGCCCTGCTATCGTTCCTCTTCTTCATTCTGACAGGTATGGCTCACCCCCTCACATTCCAGGGAATGACTCGTAACTAATGTCGTATCTAGGGTCCATTGGCTTTTTCGCCAGTTGGTGGTTCGTACAGAAGATCTATGGCTCAATTAAGATCGACTGAGCTTCCTCCGCATTTGGAATTTACTGGTCCCATTCCATGGTTTGGCGATCTACCATGTCGACCATGTCTGTACTATAGTAGTGTACCACCAGCATGAGTGCCTTGCTTATGTACGTTATGCTTCAGTCGTCTCTGATTACGGGCAGAATGAGCTCCAAGTCTGGTCACATGCATGAGCGAAGCGGTGGTTAGGGTTTGAAGTTGGGCGTCGAAAGGAGGTCGCTGCACCTTCTTGATCCAATGGTGTAAATAGATGCTTAGCACTGGGTAGGCTAGACAAAGAAGCCGATGGCTTCCAAAGCAACGAATAGACGTTTTTAGTATCATCACATCAGCGTGGCCTGATGCGTACAGGTATGATGTGAGTGAAGTTTGTTACGAGGATGGTCGAGAACTACCAACTACTTTTGGACCATTGAAACGCGAGATGAGACTACGCTTTGGATGAATGGTGGTGGTTCGCTCTCTTTTGATGCTCGCTTCATACAGCGCTCTCGTCACTGTCAGAGACTCTTGACGTAGCGACCTTAGTTATCACCTCATCGACCTGAGGGCTAACAAGAATCTGGAGTACAGCGTGTCCAGTCTTTTCAGTTCAGCGCGAGACAGTCCCTAAGATCCCGGTACTAGAGGTGCACTGTGCTTGAGATTTATGCCGTGACACAGTCTTACCACTAGCTAGGGAGATTGGGAACGGCTTTGTTGAGTTTTTCTTCGCTTTAATTTTGCCCTGGGTGCCAAACCTGAACAGCTAACTTAATTGCCAACTCTTGGGGGACGGCTGCCGCGAACATTTCCCAGGAACGCTGCTTGATGTTGGAAATCGAGAGTGATTTCTTGAAGCTCGACAGATTCTGGAAATGAATTCTCGCTTGTACTGCTCATCACCGGAATCGATGAACTCTCCATGCTGCCTACAGGTTCCAACAGCCGGACTTCTGCACCCTGTTTGTCAACTTAGAATCTTTAGCTGTTCGTACACATCGAGTGCGAAAGACGAGAGAAACGGCACGCAAACTGTAACTTAGAAAAAAACCCGAGGAGCCAACAGCAATATTCATTGGATGTCCCCCCGGTCCCCAACCCGCCACTGTTCAACCCACTGCTTCACACTCTCGTAGTCCCGACAAGTCTTCGCGTTGTTCCAGCCCGACGTCACATGATTTTCATCCGGATACTCCACGTTCGTATCTGACGCGCACATGAGGGATCGTCTCAGGTAGTCGAAGCAGTGGGCTACGTGGTGCAGGTCGTCCATCGCGGCGAGCTTCTCCACGAAGGGGTTTGCGGAACCGTTGTCGCTCTGCGATCTTTGCAAGACGGCGTAGTAGGCTACACGGATTCCGTGCTACATGTGAGACTCGTTAATGGCATTCGAGCTTGGATGCGGGAGGAGGTGGGAGGCAGGAGACATACGACACAATGTATCTGGTGGAATACTGCAATGCTTCCTACTCGGTCATGTGTAATCGCATCATGCCGCACAAAACCGCGCCCAACTACAAGTGGTCAGCCAGGAAATCTCAATACCAATACCTCGTAATATGCACTCGCCTGGGTATATCGATTCCCACGCTCTCTCGGTCTCTTCGGTCGGGGGGCCAGAGAAAGAGATGTTTTGACGCCAAACTTGAGCCTCGTTCCCCAAAGATGCTGGTGAAAATCATTAGCTTGGGATTGAGAACCACGGGATCGAGAAGGTTTCTTACGCAGTAGGCCTGTGGAATCAGGCGATGACGATGTTGACACTCGTCCGGCTAGAAATCCGGCAGCGGCAGCACATAGAACTAGCAAGACGGTGATGAGACGGTGGGAAGCTGCCCCAGATTTATGATGGCCTGAATCATTCGCTTCAACGTCCGAGGTCTTCAAGGGAAGATATCTGTGGTAGGCTGCGAACTTGAAGACCATTGTGTGTGTGGTGGGAAGAATCACTGTAGGCAGAGAATACCGTTGCGATGTAGCTTGATCTTCGTTTACAAGTCAGCATCCTCCGATTTCTCCTCATTCTTGTTGTTGCGATATCGTAAAGGTTGAATGTAGCAGAGCAGTGCTTGCAATCTAGATGAAGCCCTGCACTACATAGGAGCTGCCTTTCCTGGAACAAGATTAGATACGGAGGTTGCAGCGAAACGGGCAGGCGACAGCGGCGGTTGGGCCTATCACATTGTCGAGATAAGTACCGATGCGGCTATATTGAAGACTGCTTGATTTGGTAGGTGGGTAGGTCGCTGCAGGGGACATATTGCGTGAATTCAGAGAACATCAAATAACAACAGACACACTCTTGGCCAGGCCCGCTGCTCCAACGGATATGTTACTGGTAAAGGGGAGACAGGACCAATGAGTTCATTGTCGCGGGGCCCATTCCACAAGTAGGGGAATATAACAATGACCCGGCGGATCTTGGCCTCGAATGGCTGAGACAACGGGGACGATGCTGTTAGATTGGCGACAAGAATTAGATGCACACTCCTGGACGAAGTATATGGGTACGAGCTGTATGCATTTCATGATCCATGCTACTGTCAGGTCATTCCATCATATTGCAGACATTCTTCGATCGCCCTTCAGCATCGTAGGTTGACGATGATGATATGCAGGTCTAGATCCACGGGCTCACCTAGCTGTTTCACGAATGCAATTCGGTCATCAAAGCAGAGAAGGTCTCAAGACACTCACTGTGCGTGAAGCCCCAATGCCATTAGGATGGCGTGTATCGTCACTGCGCTTTCATCGACAACGATTCCGCGCCGCGTAGTCTCCGCCAGTAATTGCTCTGATCGACGATTTTGCGATCAAAGACGAACCACCAACGCTCGAAAAGCACCTGCCCGACCTCCCACGCGGTCGCTGCGTGTATGTCAACATCCTGTGTTTGAACCAGTATGGCTGATTTATAGATGAAGAAGGAAGGGGAACAACAAAGCTTGTTCTGGAATATAAGGCTCAGGGTCTTGGGACGGGATGTTTTTATACGTACCCTCGCACGGGTCGTTCCCCCAGATCCGCACACCCTCGGCGGCATCCTCCAGGTCGTACGCCAGCTGGACCAGGGCGAGTGGGCCGGCTGCGGCCGGGGGCCGCGCTTCGTCCGGCAGACAGAGCAGCATGATAATGCGCTCGCGGACGCTGGGCCACGGCAGCATGTCGATCACCGGGTGGTGTGGCACCGAGATCTGAGACGGTGTCGGTCGCCACGTCGCCGGCAGCTGCAGCGTCGAGGCGGGCGTGTGCGTGCCGTCGTTGAACGGCGAGGTGGCTGTCATTTCCCACAGGGATGAGTTGCACTTGATCCGGGATCCGATGCGTAGAAACGCTTTTAGGAGGGTGAGCTCGTTCACGGGGAGGAGATAGGAGTCTGGGAACGACAGATCGTCGACGTCCTTTATTACCGGGGGCCTTGCCGGGGAGTAGGCAAAAAGCGCAGCAGGGTCTACGGTCGAGGGGAACGAGAACGAGCTGCATGCGTCGCTAGGCATGAAGATTGCATCATGCTCGTTCGACAGATCGCTTCCGTCAAAGCCGTGAAGATACTCCTCGTTTGAAAGCAGCTCTTGGGTCGTTGGCTCCGAGGCTTCAGTCGGCCACAACGTCTCCAAGCAGACATCTACCCCCTCCGAACCCCTTGACTGCTCGTGAGAAGCATCGCCGGGCTCCTGCAGTGGTGGTGTGGCGACTTGATGGACTTCAGCCGAGAGACAGCTTTGGTCTGCGGTACCCTCCACAGACCCATTGCTCTGAGGGGTGGAGCTGGATGTTGATGCAGTATCCCTGGCGACTGTACGGCCTTTGGCGTGTCTCTTCCGCTCTCCTAACAGAACATGTCAGAAGATGCTTTGGCATCAGAATGCTCAAGGCAGCTCACGGTATCGACGTTGGGCTAGTACATTCAGCACCCGCCTGCGTTCAGCAGCGTCCTCGTCGATGTTGGGGACGGCTAATGACGGAGCCGGCTTTTGGATTCTCTGCCTCGTCTTTGGTCGACCGTAGCCTTGATCGGCTGGTAACGCGTCTACCTCTGGGGTCATGATGGACAACTGTGATCCCTGGTTTCTGTAGCGGAGCGTTATGGTAGAGCGTTATGGTAGTCAGGGGTGGAAAAGGGGCTGCTGCTTCTTCGCCACGTTTTGGTCGGATGATATCACTTAAGCATGACTTGGAGGAATGCGACAGATGTGGGAGTTCAAGAAACCCCCAGACTTTGGAGCCGGAGTGGCATTTCAGAGGATGGTGTTTAGGGGCCACAAGGCGCAAGCATACCCTTCTCCGACGTCGTTACAGCTAACACAGCGCCATGTGGGGAGCCATTACACAGTGCTGGCAATATATATATGCACTAGCCAACGTAGACAATGAAGTAGACTTGCACTGTATGAACACTGTACAACCGTGATGACTCGACGAGAGGCTCGTTAGTCGGCTGTCAACCTTGTTGTAACAGTCTCGGAAGACGTCTTGACGGGTATCTTATCCGGATGTACCTATGGTGAAGCGCTGCCATGGACGAACTTCGAGCTTGCAGGTATGGGATCTTCTATCTGTGCAAAAGTGAGTTCACCAGAAGGGAGAAAGCATACTGGCGCGTTGGTGGTAGCTTGGTAGGACATAACGAGGATTTGCGGCTGAACGTTGGCGCATCAGACAGGTACACTCGTGGTACACGAGGCTCGTTGCTGATAATGATGTAGCAAGGCACGTTGATCTGCCCATCGAAGTTTCCTCAGTATCTTTCGCCATGTTTTATCGTAGGTATCGAGTGTGTACACAGCCGAAGACGACCCCGTAAGGGCAAGCGAGACATGGTTTGTTCACTGTGCTTGATATCCACAGGTTGTAACAGGGGGGCTATCAGTTTGGCAAAGCTTTGTGGTATCGATTGACTATATCATAAGACTAAGCCATGCGTGAGAGGCGCCTGGTGGTCCAGGTGTGTATTAGACATGCGAGCCGCCAATAAGCTCGTCGCAAGGAGCAGACGCAATATGAAAAAGACCCGTGGAATGATGCGCTACTAGTCCACAAGTGCTTGATATCGTCGGAACCCGCGCCAGATACCTGAAGATGGCTTCAACGTTGTTCATACCGCGGCTGCTAAACCACCTCGGGCCCTATTGTGACCGCTTGCGCTCTACGAGTGCAGCTGCAGCACCCTAGAGGAACATGCTACTACGCACTGCCAGACCATGGCTATGTGAGTATGTCAGAATCAAAAGACTCAAGCTGAGTCTTTTGATTTAGAGTCCCTACTGGGGAGATGCCGTCTTTCAAAGGGACACAAACCTCTGTCTATTTCCAAACATACTCGCAAGGGGGAACTTGGAAGGGGGCAAGCCATCAGCAGGGCACTATGAGCATGGTTGATACTTGCAGGTCATCAAAGTCGGAAGATCAACCCGCGTCCTCCCCGTCGATTTCCCGGACAAATCCCAGGATCAGTCATTCGAATCTGTCAGCCCTTGCTACTCTTGGAAGTGTTAGGAGTGACCCCGTTGCTTGCTGCATGTTCAGGCGCATTGAATCAGCAGCCGGCAGATAGGACAAGAGCCTCAGATGCCAGGCTTGTTGTTGTAGAGCTACTCGCATAGTTGGAAGAATTCATGTTGCGATGTTTGCGATGCTGATAGCTGTACGAGGCGAGGTACACTGAACTCTCATAAGTCTCCGTACACGACCCTTCCAGCAAGCAACGGTATATTTATCAAATCGGAATAAGCACACCGGAATGAGCAGTTTGATCTTTATTGACCATCCTCGACGCTTATTCTGGCGCTTATTCCAGTATCTCTAACTATCCTACTGGTGGTCTAGAATCTTGCCAACATGCGCATACGGAGACTTATGAGGGCTGAGTGCAGCTGTCCGGCTGCCCAGAGGTCGCTCTCTGCTGGGATGGAGCATGGCTTCCAGCCCCATGTTGCGTGCAGGGCCAGAACCACCTGCAGTGCTGCCAGTGGTCATCCTTGACGAATCTGGCATATAGCAAATTGAAGTCTGTCGATCGGCATTCCTGACGTTTTGGGGCTGTTGCTAATAAGTCCCTTCTTGTCAGATTTGTCTGTGTGCTGATTCCAACCGAGCCTTCGCTGACGTGAGAATAGACCAAATTCAGGCGCTGAGCTGTGCTTCGTGAGACCATATGACTTCCTGCTGCGACTTATCAAACGAGTTGATCATACGGCCACATGAGGTTCTAAAGCCGTCCGTTCCGATCTGTCAGTCAATTTCAAGTGTCTGCCGGAAATCAAACATATTGGACATCGGATTTGATTGACTGTGCTGTGCTCGAGTATAGCCGGAATTAGAAGAGACAAGAGTCGTAATCTGCTCGGTGGTGGCACAGCGTCCCCGATTTCCAGATTCGTTGCAACCGACACGTGCATGCCGTGTCATCTCGATCAATGATGCCCAGATCAGCTGTTCAGGTAAAATAAGAGCAGCTGGCTCAGCCCTATAAAACAACCTGTTAAGTAACAATCGTCTCTGTCAGATTGGACTCGACCCCTTCCGTTGCGGTGGTTGCCTATGGGTCCTTCATGAATCGCTTCTTCGCCCCGTAGCCTGTGAGCCTCTCGCTTCTCAATATCAATCATGCTGGCGTCAGCTGTCATTGCTGGTGACATAATGGATTCCGTTCGAGTAAACCAAGCCTGTTACCAAAGGGTCGATGGCATGGGAACCGCGGCCTCCGTGGCAACATGGACCGTCTCTTACTCATCAACAGATGCTGGCCGTATGGCGCAATGGTCAAATGCGCCTGGTTGTGTTCTCGTTTGTGCGGTGGGCGACGAGAACAAGTGGGTTCGAATCCTGCTATGGCCCCCTTCTGACCCGGCTTGTGCGAGTCGACAACCAGCACACGACAGTGGAGAGGCCCCTTATCGCAGAGCCCGATAGCCAAGCAGCTTGTCTCCACAACACCCACTCCTGCGAGGTTTTTCCCCTTGTGGTTTCCCTCGCCAGCAGATAACAAACACCTATTTCACCCACCAATGCGACATATATCGAACGGCTACTGGAACGATGTGTACACCAGAGTACTGAGGTTCACTGGGTCGCTTAGTCACTGGATAGGAGATTTTTCTGACGGAATCGTGCTTGGGTATTGACTAAAACCATCTGGTCACTCCAGATTGGTACCGCTACAACGAGGATAGGCTCGTGCGCGGATCTGAATGTATCTAGACTGACACCTCTATAACCTTGCGATGCAATGGCTCTGGGAGGCGTGGTTTGCCCTGTTGAGGGACTGCACCCACGATAAATACAAAACAAAACAAACAAACAACAGATGCTGATCTTCAGGTTGCCCAGTGTGCTGCTTCAATCTTACTCGCGCGTATTCTTGATGGGGGTAGCTTAGCCTCCACCAATGCTGACTGCATCGAAGGTTGTGGCAGAAGACCATTGGAACCGCATCGGCATCTCATGCGTAGGCGACCGCTTTTCTGTGGTTGTTCTCTGCGATGGACACTGCCGCCGGCATCTCGTAGACTCGTATGGTGGCTGTCAGCGCTAAGGCAGCTCTGTAGTCGACTTTGGGGGCTGTTCTAGTTTCAGTATCAGATAGTACTGTGTTGTTACGATTTGCGACACGTTGTTTTTAAAGTTCTTCAGCAAGCGTTTGTTGCAGATTGCCATCGGGCCCGAGGGCACGGACGGACGGGACGGACGTGCCCTACGGGTCGACGGTGTGCGACCCTGACCCTTGAGACTCGATACTATTACCAGAAGCCGCTGCTGTCGAGATGTCGAATTGTCGACATCTACTTACCCGTGGTCTGTCTCTTGACTCCAGCATGGCCAAGATGCCGTCTCATACTGTTCCTCTCGCTTCGGGACATGGCGATTCCGCTGGTGTCTTCAGGGTCGTCAGCTCGGTCCAGTGGGTTATCGTACGAGATCTCGTTCTTAACCTCTTCTAATGCCTTCGGGTACCGCAGACGGCGCGCAATACCGATAGGCTAAGACAACACCAGGCCTGGCTACTGGTAACTAGCAGCCCTTTTCATCTCGGCAGGGCGCGCTGACGTCCAGTCGTCGACAATGTCTGGCGAGTCTTGGTCGGCGACTCGGGAATAATACCATGGTGGGCTCAGCGGCGGTCAGCCCGGCGCTGCCCAGCTACAGACCTGCAGGGTGACACCGTCTTGTTTCACCGGGTCGATGGTCAATTTCCTGCACCCTGGCGGATTACATGGTGGGTTGCATGGTGGGAGCGGCCAGCCCGACCCGCAGCTCTGGAAGCCCTGCCGAATCGCATGGCTGGATGGCGAGTCCATGGCGGCGGCGCTGGTAGTGATGTCCTTCTTCTAGTACTGGTTAACAGGCATAGCCATCCCCGGATTCCCGAGGGATTCGTGGGCCTGCCCGTCGGAATCACTCTCCACTGCATTCATAACCCACCCGTCTCGCGCTCGCCTCTACCTGTACTTACTCTGTCCTTTCTCCCGTTTTGATCTTCGGCCGTGGCGCCCGCTCATTACGTCGCGACGTCTTGCTATCAGAGTTCACATCTCGGTGGCCAAAAGTGGCAGCCATGTCTCCAAGAGTGAGTAGTAATGGCAACCTTCTGCGCCTTACCAAGGTGTATTATCACCAAGCTAATTTTGAGTTGAATAGTATGATGAAGCGCCCGAAGTGGCACCACACAACTATCCTGAGGTCCATTATCCGCCAGCGGCGCCAGAAGTCGCGGCATATAATCAACACCAAACTCAACCTCAACCTCAACCTCATCAATATCCTCAACACAACTATCATACACCACCGGCAGTGACACCAATAAAACCATCCCCAGATTCAGCAACAATACACTCAGCAGCCTACACACCGAGGGCCGCGCACCCCGCTCCGTCGACGACAACCGGATACGACAACCGGTCAGCCTATGGCACGTTACCGTCGGAACGCGGCGCAAAGATGTCGAAACGAGTGTGCGGCTGCCCGGTACTAGTCTTCGTTCTGTCCGTCATCATCGCCTTGCTGTCGGCGGCTGTGATAGGGTTGGCCGCAGGGACTGGAATCGAAGCGAGCCGGGCAAATACCGCGGAAATGAAATTAGCCTCAGCGAACACATCGGGAAGCGCAACCCCCACGAGTACGGCCTCGTCGCCAACCGCAACGGCGTCGAACTTCAACGCCATCGATCGGAACTGCTCTACCGACTCGGACAGCGTAACGGGGACGACTTACACGTCTCAATGTAAGTCTGGGGACAGCTACGCAGACTTGACGAGACCATCGCTAATACGTGTATAGTCTATGGCAAGCCCACCTTCAAAGTCTACTGCAACAGCGACACACCAAACGGTCCACTTGCATCATTATTTGTTGGCAACTTCGACGACTGTATAGACGCCTGTGCCTCCTGGTCTTCCTACGTACCGGGCGACTTCCCCGACAACTCCACGTCGATAAACGCCACTTGCTCCGGCGTGAGTTTCATCCCAGCATGGACAAATCGAACATTTGCGGTAGAAGGCAGTGCGCCCGGCAATTGCTACCTCAAGCCAGGACCGCAGAGCACGAACAAGCTGACGACTCCCAATATCGGATCCGAAGTCCACGGCGCAATATTGCAGACGGGATCATAAAAGCTCACGTAGCAGGCCATTAATTACTTTCGCACCACCACATTCACGACTATATTTGGTACGCCCAGCGGAGTGGAGTCAAAATGAGAGGAATCTTTGGGAGTTTGGTGTTGGTACGGGTGGAACAGCGTTTACGGCGAAAATATCCCATCTGCTTTACTCGGGATGGTCGCTGTCGCCGACTGGGCGAACCGACGACATCGGCGGATTCGTGTCCGTCCAGGGGGCTTGTCTCATAGGAGCTTTCTCAATCTTGGAGCCTGGCGCTTACAATTGGATCAGATACTGGACGGAATTCGGGCAGATTACCTAGAGAATCCCAATAGAAGAGTAATGACATCAAAACTGGCGCTGTGTAGCCAATGGGCGGCGAGTGACAAGTCGGTGGTACGTTGTCGTTTCAGCTCATCAGACGAAGGAAGTAGCTGTCAGCATTTGACAAGCCTGACCAGCATCGGGAGCTGGTGGTTCAGAATCCTTGGGGCCACCGGCTGCCACATTCGGCCCCGTTGCGGTCTGGATGATCTGACGGTTTATTGTGTTATTAATCACTTGAGTAATATATATCCCCATTTTGTAACATCTGATCGAGAGACGGTATTACCGAACCTCCGTCACCACTTAGAGGTGCATGAGGCTGTACGTGCCGCTATCTTGCTTCCACGCGGCCGTTGGAGAGATCGATACGGCGCAGTGGTGAATCGCTGTTGACAACGTGCTGGAAGCCGGCTGTGCCTCCTGTGCCTGTCTGTGCCTGTCTGTGCCTGTCTGTGCCTGTCTGTGCCTGTCTGTGCCTGTCTTATCCGGCACCTGTCTGTCTATATAACGGTCAGGAATGCTCCTACTCTTTCAAACCCCTGTTGGAAATAGTTGCAACCGGCGACCATCTCTACGACCCGCGGGAGATCGGGGGTTCCACCCGTCCGTCTCCCTCGATTACCTACAGTAGCAGCAGACCTGCAGTTGCCGACACCCCAAGCCCTTGCTCCGATAGGCACCAGCTAACACGATGACGGCTGGAGGATGAGGACAAAAGCGTGGTGGACGTTAGTAGCAACATGTTGCACATGGCGCCGAAGCGATCGACACGGCGTTAAATCCTCGAGAGATTTCAAAGTTAGTCTAGACCACGCTCTAAAGTGAGCCTTGGACGAGAGGAACATGATAGCGCTTCCCACTGTGAGATAAACTTACATGATACTACCAGACAAGCATATCTGCCGCGATCTAGGTAGGTATCTATCACTTGGACAGGGTTCTTGATCCTCCGTCCTACCCCTCTCGTTTGCGACACAATCGTCGTCTAACGTCTGCGACTCTCCGTAATTCCAGGACCTGAATAGGGTATCATCAGACTTGATGCTGGCATCCGGCGTCCAGAGTCTCGACCCCCGACCGACCAGGCGGCTCGAGACATCAGCCGAGATAGCCAAGAGGATCACGATCGTGAATATAGTGCAAGTAATCTCTGTATGCGGTGCGCTGATCCTGCGTGTCCCTCAAGCGCGGGGAGGGGGCATGTCTCTTGTGAAACACACGCCCGTTCATGGGAGCGGGCTGAGCGACCGCCATCGCGGATGCGGTTCGCCTTTGCCTCGTTTGGATGTGTAGGATGGCCTACGGTCTTACCTGTCGGTAGGTTGTTCTTCCTCTCCTTCCTGCTTCCTTTCAGGTTGTTTCCTGTTCAGTGTTTCCCCTTCTCCATGCTTGGCAGGCAGAGACCTATGCGGAAGCGAGGAGGCGCAGAGTGGAGTCTGGATTCATACGTGACGTTGCACTCAAGATGCTTTGGACGGTGATCACCAGTTACGGACCAAACTTGACGAACCTGGTTCTGCATCTCGCTGGCACTAATAACGACGTGATTGTGACCCGGGAGGATTCACTGCAGGGGCCGGCGATCTTTGAGTGATAAGCCACCTGCGCCCGCCAGCTCCTTCATCCCAAGTTCTCATCGGAGTCATGGCAGACACGTGGGCGGCCGGTTGGTGGCACGTCATGAAACGCCCTGTGATCAACGGCCACACCGATTGCACCTGTAGATCATACCGGAACCCTACCGAGCTGTTTGGCCAGTGCTGACCCTGCTGGGCATGCACGGAGCCACCGAGTCGCATATCTTCGAACTTGGTTACCATTGGGGCATTGTACGTTCTTTGCAAGGCTTGAAACATGCTGTGGTTCGGTAACGAGTTCGAATCGCCAGCTGGACGTCACCCGGGTCCGAGAGATAGAGAGGGGTGCTTTTCGGCGCGCACAGCATGATGGCTCGTCAGCCTCATGTTCTAGGCCTCATCCTCAGTCGTACAAGCACATCAGTCGTTCTCTGTTCTTGTGTCACAGCTTGATCTACTGCATCTGCGGTATGACCGCGTGAGACAGTCTCAGTAGGGCTCATACATGCCATTTTTAGCCTCAACCTTGATGGTCGCTTATACGAGCAAATGGCAGGGTGAGGGGCGTTCTATCGCGGTTCCGAACTCAACACAGCCGGGTGATTCCTCAGGACACATGACTTGAGGAGCTTGAACTTGTTTGGATACGGAACTAGAGATATCATCAGGTCAATACATCATCCCTTCCGTTTGACGAGGACGTATCAAGCCATCCGCCTCTCGGTCATTGAAGGCAGGATTGGCGAGCCCGTTCGTGCTACCCATTCTGGAAACCGAATGAAAGGGGCGTTGCTGGCCTTGCCGTACCTCAAGAAGTACTCGATGGAGTCAAAAGATGCGCTGGACTGGAGTATCATGACTGCATATGTAGGAACGCCATATACGTCTTTAGTCTTTCGTCTACAACGGGGCTCCACCTAAAGTGAGAAAGCTAAGGCTTAGGGAAGAGACTGGTGGTCACCACTGACGGCCAGTCTCACTTCTTGCAGCTGATATTCCTATCGCCTATGAAGTAAGCTATGGGTCAATGATCAGGGGCAGAGTGTTGAGCATGAGAGCATCGCCATACGAGCTAACAGAATCCTTTCCCCTAGGCCACAGCAGCACTCGCGGCATGGTTCTCACGGGACCGGGAAGCTATGCATCGGTGCTATAGGAGCCTGGAACTGACCTTGTATATGTTGGATCAATGAAATAACGCGTTGCAAATCCCAAGCGGCCACGAGAATATCTACTAGGCCCCGACCGCCTCGAAGAAACGCGAGCGCCGGCATGAGTGCCCTAACAGAGTGCTACTGGAGACGGAAAGGGACAACATAGCCACTTCGAATGGTTGCAGTCGGGTGATAAGTTTCATCTTGGAGTGAGATCGAAGCACATCACCTCTCAAAATGCAGGCGTATCCAACATCATATAGTTGAATCATTCGTAAGGAGTTACTGCATCCTAGTCCTCCAAGGCACATGGGTGTCATATCGAGGTCTATAAGCGGGATCCAAAACGAACATAGGACAGCAGGGTAAGTCAATGTCTGGGTTTCATAGGGCGAAGCTGTCTTGATGGTTAGAGAGAATCCGGGGAACGGCTCCTCCCGGGTTGGGGCGACCTGGCTTCCGGAGTGCCCGCAGATCGGTTTGGCGACCCCTTCTGAAGGGCCGACGAGATGTAGTAAGCACCAATATCTTCACACCGTTTTTACTATAAGTTAGTAAGCTTTCATATAGTAGACTCAACCGAAGTCCACACCCTCCGCACCTCTCGGGCCTTGGCTCTCACAGCGATGACGCGGCCCCGTTTGTCAGAGCGCACGCATAAACATCTATATCTCGCTACAGCCCGTCACAATATGCGCGTGTGTGCGCACGTCCTCCAACACTGTCTCTTCCACACATCATTGGTGGGATGATATCCCACTTGACGCATGTTGGAGAGCAACAGCTTGTTTTCCTGGCTGCCAAGCAACTTGATGATGTCGACGGGTCTCGAGTGACACGTTCAACCGCAGATGTAAGTTGTGTACGCCAGCCCCCTATCCATACGAGTAGTGCGTATGCTGAGCGTCGTTGAAGGACTACACTTGGGAGCTGGACGACGTATTCACCATACCGCGGGATTCCAACAGTAGAGGTTATATCCAAGAAACGCCCCTGCACGCGTTACTGTAGCGGATATTTGAGTTATCACCACGGGCCGTCGTACTGCATCTCGTGTTCCCAATGAGGCATCTCGACTTCGACACGGAAGAGGCACGGCCGAGGCACCGCTCTTGGTCCCAGTCCGAGACTCAGCCTGTCGGCGCCAGAGCCGACGTGCATATCCCGCGATCACTTGCATCTACTACCCCACAGCGTTCCATAGGTCCAACCCCGATGCTTCAAGATACTGCCTAGCTTCCTATCTCGGTGCTCGGCGTGCCTCGAGCATGTCGACGCTGGGCCGCTCGGCAGCGTCTTCTAGAACGGGGTCGGCCCCCGCCTGCCAAGGACGATCACACAAGAGGAGAGTGATATCGAAAGGCTATATTACTTCCGTCAACCCAGAATCTGGGTCCCAGATGCTCCGAAGAGATGATGTTCAGACATACGGAAAGTATCCACGTTGACGTGCGTTTCGCCCACTGATGTGTCAGGTTAGCCAGACATGAGCGTAGGCTATATACCCAACTATCGCCGCCCTTGGCATCTGTCCTGTCTTGATCATGGCGATGCCGATGCCGATGCCGATGCCTCCGCCCCCGCCCAACCAGCCTTCCAACCCGGTTGACAACGAAGGGCCGACTGTCACTGCGGTTGCGATCGCATTTGGGGTCCTGACGGCAATTGTTATCTCTCTGAGAAGTTGGGCTCGGATATGGCTGGTCAAGTCCTTCGGGGCCGACGATGGTATGTAGACTGCCTCCTCATCATACACGGCCTTAGCTTATACCGGCCAGCTCTCATAGTTATTGCCGCTGTCAGTCGAAAATGGTCGCTAGATGGTCTCTAGGGTTCTAACTGCGGACAGCTCTTCTCATGGGCATTCATGGTCGTCATCATCCTCGGTAATTCAACATACACTGGCGCTTTCAGTCCTTACACTGACTTCTACAGCTGCGCAGCACGGTCTTGGACGTCACTACGCAGACGTAATACCGCTTGGAAGGCCGAATGAGCAAGTATACAGCTTCTCAATCTGGCTGTCGTCGATCCTATACAACGCGTGTCTCAGCTGCATCAAGCTCTCGGTCCTGGCACTATACATGCGCCTTGGAGACGCCACGCTTCGCCGCCTTGCGATAGGCATGATAGTAATTGTCGGTTGCCAGGCCGTGGCCAACGTCCTTGCGAGTGTATTTCAGTGTTTGCCGGTTCGGGCAGCCTGGGACCACCTCAACATCCAACCGTACGAGAAGCACTGCATCGACATCGGAGCTTATTACCTCGCCAACGCTGCCATCAACATCATCACTGATATCCTGGTCTACACGCTTCCTGTCCGGCTCGTCATGCGCCTGCAGGTGCCACGTCGTCAAAAGATCGGATTAGCAGTCATGCTGTGTCTGGGACTACTGTAAGTCCGCTCTCTCCCTCCCGCCGTAAGACTCCATAGACGCAGACGCTTACTTGGCTTATTGTGATAGTGCTTGCATATCGTCGATCGTCCGAATCACATTCATACCACGGATAGTGGCAAATCTGGACATAACATGGGTGTACACCGGGGCACTGTACTGGTCGGTCATCGAAATCAATGTCGGCATTCTCGCGGCCTCGATCCCTTCCTTCAAAGTCATCGCCAAACGGTACGCGCCCCGCCTCCTGGGCAGCGGTGCCTCTTACGGATCGTCTGCTGCGAAGCAGAGCAACAATCGACGGTCGGGTTTCCACATGATGGATGGGTCTGGGTCGGCGGCCGAGAGCGCTGGAGTCGACCTGCGCGATCTGGATGCGAGCAGGAAGAACAGAGTCGGGTTCGACACCAGGATCGAGCGCGGGCCCCGGCTGAGCGCCAACAGCAGCGAGGAGGCGCTGTACCTGCCCGGACAGATTGGTGTCAAGACGCAGATAGTGACCTACACTTCTGGGAGCTCTGGGAGCTGAATACCATCTTGAGGAATTCACCACACAGTCCGTCCGAACCGTGAGCCGGGACTACTAGGCTCCTGACCCTGCGTATGCACCGACATGCTGCATGCACATCGAGGCGTGACATTGTCCGCTTAGCCACGATCGAGAGTCGCCCGATGAAGGCCGGCGTGCTTCGAAAGATGGCCATTGGGCTGGAAAACACGATCTGGTCATCCAGCTCGGTACGACACCCGAGGATGAGGAAAGAGAAGGAGACTACCAGCAAGCCAGAAGTCGACGGGTGTGAGCAGTGATGAATTGGCGCATGAGTGGTAGGACAGCCTGGCACACGCATGTCATATGGATGAGCCTGGGATTACATGCCGCTCTTTGCTGAGACATAGCGAAGTCTGGTTGAGACAGTGGTGAAGCTCGTCAGTATAAGGCCGGGAGCGTGTGTCCCAGACCAACGACCGTCATCGGTGAAGTACCTAGGAATTCCATATGGGATTTGGCAAGCATCGGGATAGACTTGGAGGGGTGCTGAAGACCAAAGAGGCGCTAAATCAGCAAAGGTGCATACTTCAATGTAACTTGAAGTAATGTAGTCCAAAAGAGCATCAGATGATGAACTTTGGATACAACTGATCTGGGCGGGTACCCAGGGGGAATTGATGTATCGTACCTATCGTTATAACTGCAAGTCTCTTCGGGAAGTGGAGATGATGGTATTAGTATGCCATCCCAAGCACAGAGTAGTAAAGTAATCCGTACACCCTTCGAGATCCATCAATGGTTGGGGTCTAGGGTCTAGTGTCTGAAGGCCACCGCTACTTTCTCCGTCAGCCGGGAATGCCGGAGCCGAAGCCCCTCAGATGGCACACATGCATCGGGGCGAAAGCATTGATGATAGATAGCACTTGCGTGTGCTAGTCTTCAGTTGTATGGCAATACATTCGTGATGTTGAGGTATAATAAGGAGGCAGTCATTATTACCGGACCATGATTAACGCGTACACGTTGAATGCTAAGGCACTATCAGCGTTGCACAACGACACACCAAAAACATATAGCATCACAGTCGGAAACTGTTAAGGAGCCTGTTTGCCTGTAGCACATGTCCTCGGCCGCTACCGCACAGTATGAAAGCACGGTGGCAGTAGTCGGCGAGCTGGCCGATCTCGACGCCCCGCAACAGCGCAGGCATGGATGGCATGGATAGACATGGACATGGTCAATGGACATGCAGACATGTCGACGCTTGGCACGCCCTGCCAGCCCTGCTTGTCAACTCAAGGGCGCGACTCCACAAAGTTCGGCAGCGGAGCATGACTCTTCGTCCCCCTCAGCCCCTGTCCCCATAGGCCATGACCAGCAACTCCAGCGAGAAGCGGACTGAGACGGGATTTGAACTTCCTACCGGGAAACAGAGGCTGAGAAAGTCCAGTCTGCTATGTGTCTGCGAAGACGCCCTTCTCGTTCATAACAAACGAGACCCCGTCCAGTCAGCCAATTCCGCTTCCTGTTTCACTGCCGGTATCGTGGCATGTCCACTGTCAGCCCTAGCCCCCGAAATTGGAAGTTCCTGGGCATTCCTGTCATCAGCAGGGCCGCCCTTAGATGACCACCATTGACGAGGAGAACGAGATGGATTTTATCAATTGGGATGCTGCAGCGCCTGGCACAGGCCTCGACTTGACCGACGACTTGGAGGGCGCAACGAATCCCATTGACTCCGTCCCCCCGTCCGCAGGAGACCCCAACATGAACCTCGTCTTCGAGGACATCGATGGAGATGACTGGTCATTTTGGGCCTTGGAGCATTTCGAGTCCACCCAGATGCCACAGGACGTCGACGTCGCGCCCTACCCTGAACTGGATCCTCAGCCGGCAGCAGCGACATCTGGGATGTACTGGGAGATAGCAGAGGCTTCCTGCAGCAATTGCGCCAATGGGGGCTACCAATGCAAAAAGATCCGGGAAGGTAAATACAAGGGCTATTGTACGAGCTGTGTGGCACTCCGGTGCGAGTGCAGCTTCGGGCCGGCCACGAACAATCTGACCGCCGAGGCTGGAGCTACCTTTCCCGCGAACCCTTGGCCGGTCATGGGTGACAGGCCCGCGACATCGATCCTCCACGAGGACGAGTTGGCCGCCATGATGACCTTGGCACCGCCTACAGCGGGACCAACCGCCGTCGCCGAGCAGGAGACAGACCTCCCAGAGCCACCGCCAGTGCCCAAGATAGGTGCACGATTCTCCCGCGAGTCTGTCAAAGTGCTCAAGAACTGGCTGGTAACCCACAGCCGACACCCCTATCCTACCGACGAGGAGAAGGACAACCTTCGGAAGATCACCGGACTCAACAAGACGCAGATCACCAACTGGCTTGCTAACGCTAGACGACGAGGCAAGGTCCATGTAACCCGGTCTACCTCTCCCCATGTTGGCGGAGGATACGCCCAAGCGATGGACATCCCACAGCGACGGGGCACGCCAGGCCCGCTCGAGGCGATGAATCCCTTACAGCGTTGGGCGAACTCGCCGCCAGAAAACGAACCTGCTTCGGTCACGGCCATTGCCCGGGCCGTGTCTGCTTCCAACTCGTATTCAGCAACATCTGGTTCAGGCCGCAACAGCCCTTACGTGTCCAATTTCTCGGATGATGGATCTGGCAGGTCCCTCTGCAATCAGTCATCTGCCAGCAGTCTGGGGACCTCCCACGGAACCTCTCACTCGAGTGGTGGCTCCTTTGCTTCTGCATTTTCGAATCAATCACGAGGCTCTTTCAGTTCGGTGCCATCGTTTGTCCGCAGTTCACGGGGCCGCCGGCGTCGACGACGAGCACCTCCCAACCGCGCCGATGAAAACCTCAGCCAGCCACCCAAGACCTTTCAGTGTACTTTCTGCACCGAAACATTCCGAACCAAACATGACTGGCAGCGGCACGAGAAGTCTCTACATCTGTCACTCGAGCGATGGGTGTGCTCACCTGACGGCCCGAGAATCACCAATCCGGAGACTGACATCATGAGCTGTGTCTTCTGCGGCGAGGCCAATCCGGATGACGCCCACATCGAACAACACAACTTTTCTGGCTGCACCGAACGTAGCCAGGAGGAACGGACTTTCTATCGGAAAGATCACCTTCGGCAGCATCTCAGACTCGTACACGGCGTCAAGTTCCTCCAGTGGGCCATGGGCAAGTGGCAGGTGGCTTCTCCGGAAATAAGATCAAGGTGTGGTTTCTGTGGCGTCGTCCTCGACAGTTGGGCCGTCAGGGTAGATCATCTCGCCGAGCACTACAAAACCGGTAAAACCATGGCTGAATGGAAGGGTGATTGGGGTTTCGACGCTCCTGTACTCCAAATGGTTGAGAATTCCGTCCCACCTTGTGAGAGAACACCAAGATTATGCCTTCCCCAATTTTCTTACCCTTATCTACAGATCTGATTCACCACGAGAGACAAACCCCGATGCCAATTACAGCCACTCAGCACACAGTCGCCACACCGAGCAACGCCTACGAGCTACTGAAGATGGAGCTGCATTACTGGCTTGCCAACAGAGCCGAAACTGCAGGACCTGCCCCGACTGACGCTGAAATACAACAGGAGGCTTGTCGTATCATTTTTGGAGCCGAGGTCACGAAGAATGGTGTTAGCAGGTCGTCGCCTTCATGGCTGCGTGACCTCGTCATGTCATCAGAAGAGACGACTCGTAACGCTCTCTTTCAGCCGATTCGCGGCCAGTCCGAAAGTTACATGTCCTCACTTCGCATCAATGGCAAGGTTGATATCTTTGAGAACTGCGATCTCGAGAGAGAGTTACAGGACTACGTACGCGCCAGGCAGCTAATCGGTCTAACGGCCATGGATCACGAACTCCATGTAGAGGCGTGCCGGATAATCGGCAGAATGGAGGAGAGATCCGGCAATCCCTCCGAAGATGTGGCGAACTGGTTGATCCGGCTCATCCACGGCTCATCGACGTGGACCGAGAACTTCAGGCAAAGGGCTCACCTTCCGCGCAGCGAGGATGTTGGTGACGCCTACCAGCGGTCCAAAGACCCCAAAACGATTGATTCTACCGTACTTAACTTCAGCAGACTGGAGGCTGAGCTTGGAGAGTACCTCCGGCTTCAGCGGTCGCTTGGCTTTGAGGCCACCGATGCCGAGCTGCAGCGGCAGGCTCGTATCATCGTGTACGAGCTTGACGATGAATGGAATCAGACAGCCGCGGATGACAGGGAGTGGTTGAGCCATTTCAGGGAGCGACACCCAGTCGGGACAGGCCTTACGAGGTCCACGTCAAGTGGCTCGCCTGCAGGTCACATGCCACCTCCATCGGCGCTCTTTACACAACAAGCATCAGGGAGTTCAACCCCCGGCGGATCTGCTCCTGGTTCTACTTCACATGTCATTAAAGCTACGCCTTTGTTGCTGTGCGATGCCAACTGTTATCAACGCCTTGCCCAGAACCTCGGCCGCTTTGTGGCATCGACCATGTCTACCAATAACCCCAACTGCCACGTGCCAACTGACGCGGAGCTCCAGCACCAGGCACGATGGATCATATACGATGAGTGAGTCCCCAAACTGAACTGTTGTAGGGGCCTAGTGCTGACCAAACGAAGTGACGACCCCTGGAACCAGACAGCGGCCGACAATGTAGAATGGCTTCAGCGGTTCAAGGTGGATGTTGGCATCCTACCCAAAGAATCCGGACCGGGTCTGACCTCAGGCGGGATCGCGTGGGCTCCGAGCGAGGGCGGCACCGGGTTTGCACCGCCTTACGTCGCCCCCAACCCGGCTGCAACCATGGAGCCGCTGCAGAGGAACCCATCAATCTCCCTTCGCGACGGGAGCAAACCATTTCAGGCCGAAGCCAGTACGGCGAACCACTACCTGCAGAACTTCTCACAACGCTACCCGGCACCTGCAAAGATCTTTTGTAGCAGGGAACTAGAAACTGGGCTCACAGAATACGTCAAGCGCGAGCTGCAGACAACTGGCGTCTTTCCTAGCGACAGTCTGCTGCAAGACCGCGCTCGATCCATCATGAGCATGCAAAAGACGCCATGTGATGATGTCGTTCTTCTGGGCAGATTCAAGGCCGCAATTCAGGGGATCGAAGCTCCGAATGCATCGGCTCCTATGACTGGGGGACTTGATCTGGGTGTTACAGGAACCCTTCCCGCCGTATTTCCCACAACCTCGGCCATCACAGCAGGACTAGCCGCATCGGCTGCGTCGGGTTCTGACCAAGCTCTTTCTTTGCATCCGGACGCTTTGCCTGCTGACATGGATATCGATCTGCCTTTCACGGAGCAGGAGATGAACGACATACTGCAGGAGCTCAGTAACACGAGCCCATCGTCGCAGGGCAACAGTCGCTCTGGCTCTGGCTCCGGCTCGGGCTTGGATATTTAATCTGAAAGGAGGGGCGGTCTGATTGTCTTTTGTTCAGAACTAGATACCATTTGGGAAGAGTGATGTTTTGGGTTGGCGTTTGGGCATGGTTTTGGGTTGTTCATCAGGGTGGAAACGCATATAGCTAATATCTGAACATAATGAACCATTACGACATGTCTTTCTTGGTTCCCCTAAAGCAGCTGCCCAAGATGTGATGAGCATACCTACGTACCTGGTTGATACCTCTTATGTCGAATGCCTAAACTCCCCACTCGACCCCTTCACCCCGTCCCAAGAAAGTCAAAGCCGCAACGGCATACGCATCAAGACCGACCCTCAGCGTCGGCATGATCGCCGGCGCAAAGTACGCCGAGTGATTGATCGGCACATCCTCCCCGACCCGGCCCTCCCTCTCCGCGTGATCCCACACCGCCCCGTCCGTGCCGCCGTACAGCCAGAAGCAGTACGGCCTGCCGACCGCGGACCCTAGGACCCCGAAGTCCTCGCTCATGCCCACGCGCGGGACTTCGGCGTTGTACGTTATCTTGTAGCCGTCGTTGTTGTTGTGGTTGTTGTCACCCCCAAAGTGCGCCGCGAAGCACTTTTCTAGTTGGGCTGTGACGGCGTCGTCGTTGATTGTGGTGGGGAACTCCCGCGTGGTCTCGAACTCGGGCTCGCGGGGCGCGTTCGATGCGGCACATTCGCAGCGCACGACCTCGCGCACTGCAGTGCGATATCTTGAGTCAGTGGCTGGGCGACCTTTGAAGAAGATGATGAAGATAGGAGAAGGTGACTGATGTGCCGAGATTGATAGACAGACAGTCCTCGCCCGCCCCCTGATGCGTCGTCGTCGAAAAGGGGGATACATATGAGACAAATTCAGAGAAACTTGCTTACCGCGTCGCAGCACCCTCTCCCGCGTGCCCTGACTAACAGCCCTCACATCAACCGACAACCTCGCCGAGTCCGGGATCACGTTCTCGGCGTCTCCCGCGTGGAAGCTGGCAACGGTGACGACGGCGCTGTCGGCGTAGGGGTCCACCTCGCGCGCCACGACGGTCTGTAATCTCAATACGGCGCTCGCGCCCATGACCACGGGGTCAATCCCGACGTGCGGCATGCTGGCGTGCGCGCCGCGGCCGTGTAGCGTTATGCGCATCTGTTAGGTAACCAGCAGACTAGAATTAGTGATTTACTCCTTTCTGAACATGAAATGTGACGAGAGGCAAGGAACCGAGGGCTGGAAGAGGAAATCCCCCCAAACATAACCATAATCATAAGGGGTAACCAAGACTCTAAAAAGCACATACGCTATCAGCGCTCGTAGCGATGAGCCCCCGCCGCGAGCCCACCGTCCCCGTCCGCGCCGGCACGACGTGCGCGCCCAGCACGACGTCCGGGACGGGCACTTTGTGCCGGCGCGGGTCGTACAGCCCGTCGGCGACCATATCGCGCGCGCCCGTGCCGCGCTCCTCAGCGGGCTGGAAGACCAAGACCAGCGTGCCGGACCACACCCCCGCGGCGGCGGCCGAGACGAGCAGCGCGGCGCTGCCGAGCAGCGTGGTGATATGCATGTCGTGCCCACAGGCGTGCATGACGGCCTTGTCGACGCCTGTTTGGGCGTCGCGCATGCGCCTCGTGCTGGCGTACGGCAGGCCGGTGCGCTCCTCGACGGGCAGGGCGTCGATGTCGGCGCGCAGCAGGACGGTGGGTCCCTCATTACCCCCGTTCTTACCCCGGCGCAGGACGGCGGCGACGCCGTGCCCGCCGATGCCGGTCTTGATCACAAAATCGGGCGACAGGGCGCGCAGCCGCGCCGCAATGGTGGCGGCCGTCTCGCGCTCCTGGTTCGAGAGCTCCGGGTTCCGGTGCAGGTGCTTGTAGAGCTCCTGCAGCGGGGCCAGGTCCGGCCGGTGCTGCTCTATTGTCTGGGTTATCAAGGCTGCTGATGCTGTGGCCACCATCTTGTCTGCTTCCATGTTGTTGTTGTTGTTGTTGTTGTTCGAGTTAGTAGGTAGGGCAGAGTTTGGTTGCCGAGCTTATATAAATCTCGTTGTTTACTTACATACATACTTCCCGCTCACCACCCGAACACCGGCGAGCCTAGCGAGTATGACTCCAAAAGGGGCGGGTCAGGTCAGGTCGTGACCGACAACATTGAACCTATTCCCCACTCCATGACCAATTTCATCTCTAAGCGCTGCTGCACTGGAGTGGAGTGAAACTGGCGCGAGAACAGTTGAAATGAAATGCGTACGAGATTACAGGTATCAGAAGCAGTCAAGAAGTTTAAGATTATACCACATCCTTACGATTGCTGACGCGGAATAGGAGATACGACGACTCTTTGTGATTGCATGTCTTGAATGCATTTGTATAAATCTGCTGCTCAAGCATAATAATTCCAGCGTCTAATTGAAACATATACTTCGTACGTACAACTGAAACGGGAGCTATCAGCAAGACAATCCAGCCAAATCAAAGGGGGTATCGTAAAGCAAGCCGCAATGCAAAACACCCCCAAGTCAACAGACAGCGAATACATTGGATGACAGATCCTATAGGGGTGAACAAAACACCGGAACGCCACACGCTTCTAACCCGCTCGAGGCAATGGTACATCTTCCTGCACACCACCACCATATATCACACGACCGTGATAGAGTATCAAAGCAAAGCGCCGCAAACAGCTCCTGGAACAACATTTGTAGTGAGTGATCAACCCCGGTTGTCCGGAGTCTCTGGTATCTCCCATACACCCTCGTCTTGAGCATCAGCCTTAACGGTAGGCTGCGGGAGAAACGTCACGTTTTCATTCGACATAGCCTGGGTCTCCTGAACCGGCCGGGAAGCAAATGGGATAGCCGAAGTCGCAGTAAACCCATGTCCACCCTTCCGTGCTGGGCTTGGGGGAACTGATGCCGGTGTGAACACTGGCGGGTGCAATTGGGTCGGCCTAGCCGGTGTACCAGTGTTGGGGTCAAGAATCCGTACAGGACCTGATAGAGGAATTGTGTGTGGAGGAGGCCCGTGAGGCTGATATTGCACGAAGAGATCCTCGTGTTGCGCCGGTCTGGGCGTAGCTTGCAATGGATCGGGAGAGTCTAGCCTGAACAGTGTGTGAGCCGGTCCTGGCTTAGCAGGCGTCTTGATGGCAGGTGCCATTGGAACCGCCGACTCGACTTTGGCGTGCACTTGCGGAGGCTGCTCGTACTGGTGGATTGGGGTTTCCAAATTGGGTGACTGGTCTGTGGGTGCTTGGTAACCAGCGTTGTGCGTTGCCAAATCGACAGAGCGTTTTTCTTCCTCGCTCAAGGTTCCAGTCACTGGCAGCACAGGCTTCTGTTCGGATGCTGGGCTCCCAATCCCAACCTTGTCAGCTGTGGGTTTCGCCTGTCGAGCAGCCTCTTGGTCAGCTGCTGCCTTCCTCTCGGCCTCAGCTCTTTGCTTCGCCTCCTTCTTTTCCTTGGTCAGCACGTTAATCTTGATTTTCTTCATCCCGTTCGTAATCGACTCCAGGTCGTCTGTAGCATTGGATGAATTTAGAGTCGATACCCTAGATGAGCCAGCTGCAGGCCCCTGGTCCAGAGGCAACAACTGAGCTTTCCCACTCGGGGCCTCCGGCAGTGTAGCCTTTGCGGGGGAAGCCGGCTGCTGAGCTATAGCTGGGTTCGCTTTTGAAACTGCCGGCTTAGTTTTCCTTGGTGCTCGTGGCGCTCGAGCGCTGTCTTTCCGTGGAGGTGCCGCTGCACGCGTTTTCTTCACGTTCAGGACGGTGGAAGCCTGGGTCCGTACGCTCATAGACGACTCAGATCGAATGCTCTGTGAACTACCAGGCCTTGGGACTGGATCTTTAGGCTCTGACGAATCTTGCATAGTTGTCAGAGTTGATGCCGCACTGAGTCTTCTGCTCGCCTGTCCAATATGTTTCGTGCCGTTTTGTGTAGGTATTCCACGAGCAGAGGCCTGCAGATCATGATCAGAGCGCTGTTCTCTGCGTCCAATGTTGCTTCCTAGTAGACTTACCTTTTCGGCCGAAAGACCAGTCGGGCCTCCAACCGTCTTGCGTCGGGACTTGGCATCTTCCTCTTCATCCAAGTAGTTGGGCTTGGCTTTCCTCTCCCGTAGAGACATTCTAGTAGGTGCAACTGGCGGAGGAGGTGCTGAAGCATCATTCGAAGCACCTTTGCCAATCTGCAGTGACTGCCGATCACGCCTGGCTTTGGTGGCCTCGGCGTTGAGTTCCGAGTGTTTGCAGCTGTTTGTTTGACGACCACTCGGGATGAGAAGCTTGCTCAGTTCGTGTGCCGCTGCGGTCCAAGGGACATTAGGGTGTGGTGGAGTGGGCGCTCTGGGGATGATGGTCTGCGAAGGCGATAGACCCGACAAAGGACGTCGGACTTTGGCAGCTTCCGTCAGCTTTGCGTTAGAAGCTTGCGTCGGGGATGAGTAGTTTCCGGGGGTGATATTCCGAGGTTTCTGAGATGCTGGCGGAGGAGCGACCATGGCCGCGTCAAGCCTGTCCAGCTCTGGAACCGACCACCAATTCGGGTCATACGGAAACTCGAGGGCCTTGAGCGATCTCAATTCGTTCTCATTCAGGGTGCTTCGTCGGCTGTAAGATCCAATCCTATTGCCCATCTCATAGCTCGTAGCACTTGCGGGTTCATCCTTAGGAGCAAGAGATTCGCTTCCAGCAAAGCCACTTAGATGACTGAGGACTCCCGAGTATAAAGCACGGTCGCTGTAGCCGCCCTCAAGAACACTGATGACTCGCCCCTCGACACTCAGACCTTCCTCAGAGGCGATCTTCACCACATCTCGCGTGAGTCGTGCATAGAACTCGGTGGGCACGTTGACCTTGTGACGCTGCATCCCAGCGCCTTCCCATTCGCTCGCATCGAATCCCGCAGACAAAAAGATTGCGGCTTTCGGTACCTGGCCGGAAGCACGATATCTCTCCGTCTGAAGTCGTAGGTAGTTGCGAGTCTTTTCCAACAGGATGGAGTATTTGGATTGGTATAGCCTCCAGAACTCGACGTCTGACTTCCATTCATGTAAGTGAACGTTCCAGATGTTCTGTCCGTGAGCGTTGTCGATGCACAAGCTAGCGTTCTTCACCTTCTCTTCATCGCCGTACTCGCATGGATATGAGTTGATGTCATGGACACTAAAGTACCCGATGGATGTCTTCTTCCATGCGGCTGCGTTCTTCGTAAGCCCCCTTTGGTTGTGCTGCCACGCAATAGCCTGGGATCCGTCTCCGTGATGCAGATCGAAGTCAATGATGGCCACATGCGTCAAGCCATGGTTCAGAATCCCATGCATGATTCCAACATGGACATTGTTCACCCAGCAAAAACCCGACGGGTAGGATGCCGAACAATGGTGGCCGGGTGGACGCACGGCGACAAATGCGCGTTTGTGGGCTGATTTGGAAAAGACCGCGTCGACCGCCTCGCAGACGGCACCCAAAGCTCCTTCGAAAGCATCCAGGGATTCGGAGCACAGATAGAGGTCGCCTTCGTGCAGTCTCGGCGGAGTTTCTGCATCTGGTCCCCGATTCATGTCTGGTCTTCGAAGTTCACCCCCTTTCAGGTCCAGGTTCGTCTCGGCAGAATCGCACATAACCTTCAGCTCCTCCATCCATTTCATCCCATGGACGTTCGTCACAGCCGGGGAGGTCAACGGGAGACTGCGGGTGGTCTTGTGGATGCGAAAGGGGATGTTGGGCATCGTCGTCGGATCGAGGCCTGGATGAAAGGGATTCTTCCCATCGCAATGTCGTTCTCCCAGGCGAACATAAGCAATTGATACACCAAGAACACTGGCTTGTATTCTCTCAGGGCGCTCGACGATGGTGCTGAGTGTATTCTTCGAGGTGCGCGGTCTCGAGTACCGGTGTCCGTAGCAAGCGTCATGTAAGATCACGACAGTCTCTGCGGGCTGGTCCGTTCCCGTCGCATGCAGCATTTCTAGTTCCTTCTTCATGTAAGCGCTTGCTACTGACGCAGCTGTAGGAGCTGGCTTTTGTTGAAAGTCTTCCATATTTCTCGGCAGACCAACGGTTGGTGACCTGGTGGCGGTTGGCGATAGAAATGTTGTTGTGCTGCCCCTGCGAGAGGGTGCACGACTGGGAGTGGCTGCGCCAGACGAGCGCAGAGAACTCGTCGAGGTCTTGCGAAGTAGGTTTGGTGTTGCTGATCGAGTACCGGAGCCCAGTCCATTTAGACTGACCCTATTCACAGGACTGCGCGGGGGTGCTCTGGCGCTTGGAGAGGCGGACGAGGATTCTTCGACCGCTTGTTTTAGTTGCGCATTCGACTTCCAGCTTGGGGAATTCGAAGACTGCGCTGCCGGAGATGTGGAGATGTACAGTTTGTCCAGCGAGCGCAGGAGTTCGTGATCATGGTCGGTGGAGCTGGGTTTGGAGTATGAGTCTGTTGTTTCCAGTTCGGGCTGAGCTCGAATGCGCTCAGGGGAAGCCATGGTTTCGATAGTTTGGACATGCGCGAAAGTTGGAGGCTAGTGGTTGTACTTGAAGTTGCATGTGTCGTATTCGAGGGCGACTGTCTGCATGTGAAGAAGTGTACCGTAAGATAGGGTCTGGCCGTAGATATCTTTGTCGTTAGGGAATTCGCCGTCGCAGGTGCAGTTTCGGATTTCGATGATCTGGAGAACTGCCACTAGCAATTAGGGGCGTCAGCGCGTAATGCTATTCCCCTTCATTTATTTATTGATTGATTACAGCGATAAAGATAACAAACCATCGTGGACGTGCAGGCGCTATCAGCCCGCCATTTGCACTGCTTAGCTCGTCCCTCCAGCAATTAAAAACATCTTAGATCAGATTGCCCCTCCATCTGACGTCTTCCTGCTTCATCTGCCTGCCGAGGTTCCAATAGTTCATTAGATGAGACATTTGGGAACAGGTAGAGCCGGTCTCCAAAGGACAGCAATAACAATGCGTTGTTCGACAGTCATTGATTTCATTGCATCAGCTGCTTGACTCGACACCACTACCTTAGCCACCCGATACTTGAAAGCAGATACTTCTACAGCAGCTTTACAGCCAGCGATATCGCAGCTCGCAGCCCCACCAAACGCCACTTAACCCGCCTGCAGGGCGCTTCACTGTTCTTGATTTTTAAGCAAGCCTCATCTTTGGCTTCTGTCGCATTATTAGACCAGACTCGCCTACGAACCACGTCAAGTACTTCCCCCGAACAATATATACATCGCATTTTGGATACACGTCCCCGTTCCGCACTTGTCGCGACCTGCCAGCACCACTACCACGGAAGACCCAACCGCGTCCCCGAACATGGCGCCCTCTCTCGAAGAGCCCGAGCCTGTCCAAGACGTCCAAGACGTCCTCGACAACCCCCTCAAATCGCGCCCCCAGCTCGTCGCCCCCGAACCCGAGCACTGTCCCGGTCCCGAGTCCGAAAAGGCCGGCACAGCAGACTCGTGCGCCGGCTGTCCCAACCAAGCGATCTGCGCATCAGCACCCAAGGGGCCAGATCCCGACATACCGCTGATCTCGGCGCGCCTCTCCGGCGTGCGCCACAAGATCCTCGTGCTGTCGGGCAAGGGCGGCGTCGGCAAGAGCACGTTCACGAGCCTGCTGGCGCACGCCTTCGCGACGAACGAGGACCAGACGGTGGGCATCATGGACACGGACATCTGTGGGCCCAGCATCCCCAAGATGATGGGCGTCGAGGCCGAGACCATCCACATCAGCAGCACGGGCTGGTCGCCCGTCTGGGTCGCCGACAACCTGGGCGTCATGAGCATACAGTTCATGCTGCCGAACCGCGACGACGCCGTCATCTGGCGCGGGCCCAAGAAGAACGGCCTCATCAAGCAGTTCCTCAAGGAGGTCGAGTGGGGCAACATGGACTTCCTGCTGGTCGACACCCCGCCGGGCACGAGCGACGAGCATCTGAGTGTCAACAGTTTCCTGAAGGAGAGTGGGATAGACGGTGCCATCATGTTGACGACGCCGCAGGAAGTAGCCCTGCTGGACGTACGGAAAGAAATCGACTTTTGCAGAAAAGCTGGCATACGGGTGCTGGGTTTAGTGGAAAACATGAGCGGATTCGTGTGCCCGAACTGCACACACGAGAGCCAGATCTTCAAAGCAACGACGGGCGGTGGCGCTGCCTTGGCGAAAGAGATGGGAATCCCCTTTCTAGGAGAGGTACCGCTGGACCCGAGGATAGGGATGGCTTGCGACTACGGGGAGAGTTTCTTTGACCATTACCCGGAGAGTCCGGCGTGTAAAGCCCTCAGGGGCGTCGTAAGGGGGCTGGCGAGCGAGATTGGTATTGATCCCCAGCTGGTCATGCCTGACGACTGAAGGGCATATATCAAATCAACAAAGTAAAACATGACGCCTCGTGCGGCCACTGCGGATGCCTGGCGTACTGCGTTGCATGCTTGCGTAGATGTCCTGTCTATGTTTATTCTGCGCTCAGCTTCTTTGAGATATCCTCAAGGTCTTCGGCACTCTCTATGTCGATTACCCTGCCGACCTCACTCGCATTCCGCATGAGCTCCTTCGCGCCCGCGTACATCATCCGGCTCTCGGCATTACACGTGCTGGGCAGGTAGTATAGGAGGACGTAGGGTACGGACAGGCGACCGTCGGGCTATATCGAGTACCATTCTTCTATTAGCACAACATCTTTGCTGCTTGCGCATGCTCTCACTTGTTCCATGGACACAATTCAAGGGTATTGCGGGTGCGCGAGACAGGATCGTGGACTGGACAGGGAACGCACCATAGTCAGCGGGTGGCTCAGCAGGATGTAGCGCGGCGAGTTGTCGGGCAGATCGTCGGCGATCTCGTCGAGGGACTTGTAGACGACCTTGTCTTCGTCTTGCTTGATCTCGTGCGTCTTCTTATCGATCATGTCTGGCACATGCGTATGGGAGGTCAGCTTGGCTATACATGGCTAAAAAGATGGCATTGGCGTACGGAGACGTACATACAGATGACGGCTTGCGGACCGCTGGCTCGCGAGGTGCCTAGGCGGAACTTGCGCAGATGGTCTTTGGTCTCCTGCGAGAAGGTGTAGAGCCGGGCTTCGGAGCTCTGGAGGGGGATGCAGTGATTAGGCGGGGTTTTGTTATGGAGCGCGTCGCGGGGTGAGAGAAGGGGAGTGGCCTTACCATTTCGAAGTTTTAAGAGGTTATTGGCAATTAGTTCTCGAGACTCAGGCTGGGGAGATGACGAGGTGTTCGATCGGCGCAAAGGGGTGAACGGGGTGGAGGGAGGCGTGTAGTTGTCGTAGTTGCAGGTGTCTTGCTTCCACTGCTGGACTCGATGGCAGCTGAGCTAATGAGGGAAACCCCCACCAATGACGAAGCTGGGGGTCCCGACTGCAGGCCCGCCAACCCAACCTCATCTACCTCACAGTCTGTGTTTGCCTGCCGTGAATGGCTTCATGCTTACCTTACATGACAGGACGCATCGTCCCCACTATTCACGAGTAGTCGGGTGTCGCTCGAGGAGTAATCATTAACGTTTCCCATACCTTCCCTCGAAGGGATACCGGTAGCCACCCGTGCCGCATCCTTCTCGAAGTGGGCGGTACGGTCTGTTTCACGGATTCTTGCACAGGAGGTAAGTACATATGCTTGACTTCATGAGATAAGAAGGAAGTGGCTTGCGTTGTTGGAGGGTGCGTAGTCGCCACTGTGAAAGGCCACTGTTTTGGTCGTGCATGTGGCCTGGATCTGGCATCCATCCATCAGCATCATCATCACCACCGCCACCACCATTCATTTCAGGGTGTATCGTGGCTTGCCTCTATATCGATCTTTACATCGTATTCCTACCGCAACAATTGCAACACGACAGGCTCCTCCACCAGAACGACCAGCTACCTTGGACTCCCAGCCTCACTGCAGTACAATACGACAGTCATGTCTTTCCCCTCTCTCCCTGCAGAGATACGACTGATGGTGTACGAGGCACTCGCAAACAGCCCTCGCGATATAAACGTGGACCCAAAGGATCGCCTAGCTACATACGCCTCAGTCTGCAGAGAGTGGCAAGATGAATTCGAAAAGAAGACGTTTCGGCAGCTAATACTGTCGCCAAAATGCATCGCAGACCTGGATCGGAACGTTGGGCCTCGCAGAGCCTTGGTCAAGCATATTTGGCTTCATGTGCCACTCCCAGAGTATAACCTGGATCCACCGAGGGGTGACAGGGCAGTCCCCCAAAGAGTCAGTACCTACACAAATGTGTCCAATCGCAAGCCTCCCACTTAAGCTGATTGGGGTAACAGAATAGCAAAGTCGCCTCTAAAGCGATTTTCAACCTCTTCAAGGTTCTTTCTGGCTGGACTAACGACGCGGTAACTGCCACCCGAAGTGGACTCACACTGGAGCTCAGCGCCTCTTCACCGAGTGACTCAAAGCGTTACTTCAAGCATCACCAGGTTGATGCATTTCCGTATTCAGAGGGAGACAACTTTGACGAGAACCCCAAGGCTCTGAGGCTGACCCAGAAGCTATACGATGGGAAACGTTGGTTTGCAAAGTGGCCGAAAAGGATTGTGCTCTATGGATCGTTGGACACGTCTCTCTTCTCTTTCGCTCCAGAACTTCCGAGAGTGAAAGCAACAACCCGCATTCTTACCCGCAGGCAATTCGACCGATCTGCCATGCACGTGGTAGACCCTCGTATATTGGCTCGCTTACCGATGCTGCAGCAAATGCAAGTTGAGTACTGGCGTTTCCCGGCCTTGCCTCACTTTGTGGGAAAGATTAAACGTTTGGAACAAGAGTGCGATCAAGGTTTGTTACATGTCTGGACAGTCCTGAGAGGTCCGGCTCTGACCATCGTACAAATCTAGCCATGGCTCGCCTTTTCGCCCTACACTTGCCTTTTATGGTTCGTAGTCTTTCACTGTTTGAAGACAACCAAGACTACTACGAGAAGGAACCTTACGGGATGTCCCAACGAGTCAGCAATCCGGTATTGGCTCGCATGATTTCAATCTGCAGCCACCAGCTGGTCACTCTTGCTGTGTCGTTCATAATCGACGCACGACATTACTTTATACCGTTCCGCCCACGGCCGTCAGTACCATGGGGGATGAGAATCCCTGTGTTCCCCATTCTTGAATCCATAGCTTTGAGTTCTGCTGTGTTTTGCCCGAGCGCCGACCTGAAGGAGATCAAGGACCTCATGAACGCTGATAGAAACGCGGCTGCCGAGATGCCCAAGCTGAAAACCTTGGAGCTTTGGAATGACGAACCGGGGAAGCAGCCATATTCTGCTACCACCGGGCAACGAAATCTGTGGCTACCCTCACTTGGCTCACGACCTGGGATATTCCATTGCATCCGAAAGTAGTGAAGGTGTGGGAGAAGGTTGCGGTGATACATGGGTCCCTACGGCTCTATTCGGATCGTATACCCCCTCCGCCGGTCTGTTACGGCTCGATCCTACGGTATCTTCAACTGCAACGCCAAATTCTTTAAAATCTATTAACCAGTACAGACTACCAGCGCAAGAACCGCGTGACCTCAGTCAGAGTGGTTACGTCTTTGTTAGATGGTGGCTTCGAGGAGGACTTTGAGGAGTTCCCGTTTTCTACATAGCGTTTCATTAGTGTTTAACTCAAATGAAATTACGTCCAGAGCTCTACGTGTCGACTCTAAGTGGTGTTCTTGCTGGGTATGTATGACACAACGTTTAGGCTAAGTAACTTTAACAAGACGAGACACCAACGGATAACTATCTTTGTAAGATGTTTGTTCATTTGTTTGTATTTAACGTGGGGGGTAGCTCCTCAGTAGTGCAAACCACGCCTCCCAGAGCCTCTGCATCGCAGGGTTGTGGAGGTATCAAGATAATAAGTACAGTCAGTCCCGCTTACGAACCCATCCCCGTTGTTGTGGCTGTATGACTTTGGGGTCATCCATCTGGTCCTTCAAGAACAGCTATCTATCGGGGGCAGATTGATGAAAAGAACTTGCTCTTCTCAACAAATCTTGCCCATTCCGTGCTCCTCTCCCCTAAGTATTATAAACAAGTTGTCCTAGGCGAGTACCTGGACAGCAGCCAATTTTCCCCCAGTCTCTTACAAAAGAAAATGTGTTGTGGTGTTTTCTTCTCCCCACAGCTGTAATGATCATTCGAGTCTGTATGCCCAAAGCATTCGTGGTATCTGGCAAAGTCGCCATGTCTAGATCTGTGAGATTTCAAACCGTTCTGTATTGAAAGGAAAGAGAATAAGATCTCTGGGGGATGTTTGTTTGTTTTGTATTTAACGTGGGGGTAGCTCCTCAGTAGTGCAAACCACGCCTCCCAGAGCCTCTGCATCGCAGGGTTGTGGAGGTCTCAAGATAATAAGTACAGTCAGTCCCGCTCACGGGCCCATCCCCGGGAGATCTCTGGGGGAGAAGCCCCCATATGTACAGGTGTGCCATCAGAGTGACCAGATAATCATACGATAATGGCGCCAGGATCCTGGTGGCCTGAGGGTGGGCTGACTGCCCTGAAGCTAAACCCATTAGCGCATTCAGCCCCGAAAGCCTTAGCCTGGTATGATATCCAATAAGATCTGGCTGCTAGAAGTCTGTATAAAGTATTCTTCTTAAAAGATATAAAGTCTCTTTTTAGTTACTGCATGTAAGTATACTTCTTGATACTTAGGTTCTGATTGGTCTTTCCACTATTAATTGAATTCTTTCTTGCCCTTTTTTTGAGATTTCTCTTGACCCACGAGATTGTGGGAAGATTTGTCGTGTCTGATTTTAGCATGGCACCCTCTTTTATTAGTGTGTCGATAGCTTCGTTGCCATCAATATCTCTGTGTCCAGGAATCCACTTGACGGTCACTCCAGGAGTGTGTGCCGTGGCAAGTTCTTGGAATCATAAGAAAAATGTTCTGTGATGTCTCGAGTGGAGTCCCATTGAGCCCATCTACTATTGCTGTGTTGTCCAGGTAGACATATAACTGTTTTCTGTGTCCAATTGCGCTGGCTGTTGCAAGCCCTTGGAGAACACTATGGACTTCAACATCTATTACTTTTGTTTGGAGAAGTCTGCCCTTTCCTTGGTATACTTCTTGTGTAGTATTGCCTTTCCTAATGGTGTAGCCCCATCCAGTGCGGGTTGTGCCTTTGTCGTCCAATTGTGATCTATTTGAGTAAACAATAAGGTCAGTGTTCATATTTCTCTCTTATAATTATTCCTTAAAGAGCTCTATCTTTTTGTTTTTGTCCTTTCAGATTAGGGGCTTTTTCCATGATGGCTTGGTGAGTATTGGTCTCTGGAAGTCAGGGATTAGTTAGAAGTTCTTTTATAGCCTTATTGATTCCTTGTGAGCTTGTACTTGGAGCCTGCTAACAAGAGGGTATCTTTGGTCTAAATGTCTGAGTCGTAGGCCGTGACACCATCTTATTGCCTCTGCAAGAACTCCTGCTGGAGGAATCTGTGATTTAAAGTGTAGGATATGTCCAGGATGTGGTTTTCAGACCGGCAGGATAGCCCTGATCGCTGTTCGTAGTACAGCATCTATCGTTTTAAGAAGCCCCTTAATACGACATGCTGATGTCTTACCTGAGCTCCTGATTTTTTTGATTCCTGGATACCAGGCCTCTAAGCCATGTGTAAGAATAGGAATAACATAAGCTTTCATAGCCCTCCTGGTTGACTTTACTGGGAGTCCTTTAACTGTGTTGCATAGACTTCAAAGGTGATTTGTTACCTTACTAGCTTTCTTAGCCCAGTGAGAAACATAATCTTTGAAGTTTAGTTTTCTATCTAGAAGGACACCTAGCAATCGCATAGAAACCTTGGCTGTTTTGTTCATTGTCCTATGGCGGACTGGAGGGTTGTCTGAGTTCTTTTTCCTTAAAAAGTGCATGATCTCAGTTTTGTCGGGGTCAAATTCAATAGCGTTGTTGTGTCCCTATTAATTAAGCTGATAAAGATTTTTAGAAGCCTTTATTGCTATTTTTTCAAGGTTCTTTCAATATAGAGAGTCGCTAGGTCGTCTGCATATCTAAAGCGTCTCTTTTTCATACCAAGTTGGGCACAGATTGGCTCTGTATACAGTATATAAAGAATTAAAGAGGCTGGTGAGCCTTGTAATAGCCCACAAGTAAGAGCTTTTATATCAGTCATAATACCTTTAAACTGAACCCTTGCGGACCGCTCGGACATGAATGATTGGACCCATCTTATAAGAAAGCCTGGCCAGCCCTGTTCTCTCATACGAACCACCAGCCGTCCCATTAGGGCAGCGTCAAAGGCCCCTTTCACATCTGACGTGACTACTGTTGTAACGAGGCCTTGGTTGAGGGCTTGCTCAATATCGTGTATGAGTGCAGCTACCAGGTCAGTGGCAGAGCACTTTAATAAAGCTTCAAAATATTGTGGAGCTAGAATTTTAACTTTAATAAGAAACCAGGTAATTCTTTTTGTAATGAGTCGTTCTAGGCCTTTGCCAAGACATGACAATAGCGATATTGGTCTGTAGGCCCTGGGATTAGAGTAGTCTTTCTTATCTGTTTTGGGGTCATCACTACCTCAGCCACTTTGAATGGTTTCGAGTGATGTCCAATCTGTAGGCAGGTCTGAAAAAGGGCTCTGATATGTTCCCCAATGACTGGCCAGCAAGCTTTCAGAATCCGTACTGTGAGGGTGTCTATTCCTGGGGAGTCGCTCTTAGTCCCTATAGTGCACCCTTCAGCCTCTTCCAGTCCGACATGGTATTCAAGGGGGATGTGTGGCTTGGGTTGTGTGATCTGAGCGGACCAGGGGTCAATGATATCGTTGTCTGAGGTACTTCGTTTAAGCGTGGCTGAACATAGTGCATTTGCCTTGCTCTCTTGTGACTCGAATATTTGGTCTCCTATGATAATTAAGGGGGAACGCAATCCTGCTGATAGCATATGCCAAGAGACGATTCCGTATAGGTCCTTTGGCTCAGTTGCTGAATTGATTAGAGTCTGTCAGTATTCTCTCCTAGCTTTCCGAACCACGCGGCGAAATTCCCGTCAGGCTGAATTCCGCCCTTCTTAGCTTGTAACGTAGCTGACAAGCGAGTTGACATTACAAGCGAGTTGGCACTCGTCATGAACTCTCCAACTGCCATGTCAAATAACTTCACCACAACGCATTCAGTTCAATTCAATCAATCGGATTCCTTTTTCTCAGAGGTTTCTATCTCTATTGTATAAGTTCGCGCATTATGGCCAGTATTGCTGTAAACGTCACACCGTCGCCCACGCGCTGCTGCCCGCCTCGGACGACGACTACCTTCACCCATTTCCTGTTTTGCCAGCTCAGTACCATCCTTTGCAGCCTGAAGATCTACTGCATCTTCAACGGAAAGTACTCCTCCTTTCACTAAATGTTTGTTTTTTGTTCTCCGGAGTTTACTTAGTAGGTGATTGGCCTCTTCTAATTCGCGGACCCAGGAATCAACCAAAGCGACCTTATGCATAAGACCGTATATAGCCTTCGAAAACGAGCTCAACGCATCAATTATTGATATAGGTGAGCTTCTCTAGTGGTTTCTGACTCGGTTTCGGATATAAAACGATTGGTTTACCGCTTTGTTAGTGGTGGTAGGCGTCTTCGAAGTCCAAGTAGTGGGTGGCAGATTGGGGTCTGGCGACGGTGTTTGTACGACAGCGACAGCATCCAGCTTTGAAATAACACTTTCTGGGTCAAAAGGAACAAGCCTAGTGGCACTGAAACCTGCTCGAATGTTTCCTGGTGTCATAGCAGCGTTGTGTGCTTCACAAAACGCTGCAAAGAAGTCCTCCTTCGAAATATGGGTTATATGACGCCGGATGAGATCCTCAATCATGCGACTGTAAGCTCGTTTGAGCGGGCTAAAACAGCCGACATCTAGAGGCTGGAGCCTGTGTGACGAGTGGGCAGGCATACAAAGGGTGATAATGCCGTTGTTCTGGCAATAATCCTCAAAGACCTGGGAATGGTGGCTTTTGTGACCATCTAGGATGAGGAGGCGTTTACCGGCAGTCATACGCGGTCTGGTATACTTGTTGAAATGCTGAATCCATTCCAAACCATTCTCATTTGTGGTCCACCCGTTGTCGGACACGGCCACCTTCCAATCGCGTGGTAATATCGTGTCACGATACCATGACGCGAGGTGGGTTTTGCCCTGTAGAATGATGAACGGCGGGACCACCCAACCATCAGCATTAACAGCAGAGATTGCTGTAGACCATTCCCTGTTGCCTTGCTGAGCTTGTCTAGGCCTGCCACGTCTTTCGGCGCTTGTAACGACCATGCCGGACCCAATAATGCCCATCATAAACCCAGTCTCGTCGAAGTTGTAAATATCCGCGTCTTGGATACCATGTTTC